ATGATTTTTTATCAATTTTTTATTTTTTCCTTCCAATAATAATAATAATAATTATTATTATTATTATTATTTTATTTAATAAACAATTAAGTTTTCGGAGGGCAAGAGGGTGAGGAGGGGGAGGAGAGGGAGGAGAGGGAGGAGGTGTTTACCGATTCAATTATTCATTTATTCATTCGCTCAACAATTGAATAATTAACTAAGACGGTTGAGGTGTATATTATTAGAATTATTCTGATAATGAATTAATAACAGGGAGTAGGAGTTGACAGTATTTACCTGCAATTCACTTCGTACCTGACCATATGATGTGTAGCGCATGCATGTACGCTCCCACACAGCAAAGCAATTTAAAATGCACATGTGTTTTTTCCCCCAGTCCCCCCGGTTTTACCGGTATGGCAAGGGGGTAGTGAACCACCGGTATAACTGCACACCCCAACGACGTGGGGCACGCGTCACTATAGTTACCCAATCCCCTATGTTCCAACCATCTGCGCCCCCCCTCCTTTTTACCCCCTCACCCCCTCATCGTCTCACCCCCTGTCACCCCAAATCAAAGATTGGGCTTGAGCGGTTGTGCGAACCTCTGCAAAATCCATGGCACACTTATTTTCCTTCTTAAACCTCCGACAGGTTGACAGATTCAAGGAAAATCGACAATGAAATTTTTACTGACGCTTTCCCCTTGTCCGTCGGTTTTATTACCCTGGGAGACCCTTGGGGCATTGCGCTCGAAAGAATCTATAATAAAATGTAATAAAATAAGACGTGAAATCACAGGTTGAGTCGTAAAATAACTATTTATGAACATTGAGGGCATTGTAAAGGGGAAATTTTATCTCGATAGTGAAATCCACTTCAAGTACTTTTTGGTCACACATCATTCACCTTCAAAGACTATAATGATTATAAAGTCATATGATTTATGCAAGTCTAGAGTGATATCAACACTCCCAATAAACAATAAATAAATACAAATAATTACAGTGTAATGGAAGTAATGATTTGTTCTCCAAATGAATATGCTCTAATTAATCCCCAAAAAAATCATTTCGATTATTAATTCAATATTTTCCTCCCAATTTTAAAGGCCCAAATGAATTGGGAAAAAAAATTTGCGGTAGGGCATGACAAACCTCCCTCCCCCCTTTATAACCGTAAGTGCAGCTGTAGTTTTCGCCGCGAAGAAGTTCCAGCTGACTCGGACCCCCTCCCCCTTGATCACGAACCCCCCTGAGATTCAATTGGCCTTTTTTATGGAGCACCTAGCCAGTACTCGCAAAAATCAAACAAGCAATAATAATGGGGGTGCGTCTCGTGGCTGGCAATTGCAAAAAACGAAGAAGGGGGGTGCATCCCTCCTCTCCCGCTTTAAAAGGGATTTGTATTGTAGGAGTTAGGTACCCCCTCGAGTGACTCATGGAGCAATTCGGTGTGAAGAAACCTCCAATGAGTACTGCATACTGTGAATACCCCCTGTCTTGGTAGCACGGGCCAAGAAATAGCGAGGGGCGATAAAGTCAAACGACAGCTGATACCTAGACCTAAATGCTACCTTATAACGCCTAGACATATTTCGTTTAAGTCAATAACCATCTGAGGGGCTCTTGCTGTGCGATTTTCCTCGGATCTTGGGGTTGAGGAAGGACATGATGTGTTTGATCATCAATTGCCAGATGGAGGCTATTTATTTGGGTGTATCGATTGAGAAATTTATGATTTTGCCGTTGAGATGCGCAAAATATCCCCAAAACACGCGTTCTTTAATTTTTAGAAATTTTTCAGAATTAATATAATTTGAAACAATTCCCTGAGAAATCCACCCCCACATCTTCTGCATTGGGAAAACAAAATATTTCGTCAATTAAATTGACTGGTGCCTTAAAAATATGAGACGAGAATTTCAATGGGAATTTTATGTAGATTATTTACTCGACAGAAATATTTTTTACAGTGAATTAAATTCCGGGGGAAAAATGGCGTTTAGATATTCCCATCGGAAATTAATAGTTGTCAATCCATTAATAAATCGGTAATTAAGAGAAATGTTGGATTCCAGTAATCTCGCGTTAGCACTTCGCCACTGAATTAATTACTCTCTCTGAATTTTCATAAACTACTGCCAATCGTTCAGTTGTCCCGCAAATAATAATTCACTTCAATAAAATCGTGAGCGGTGAAAACCGGTTGAGTCCACCACTTGGCGGGAAAAGATCGCCGATCGCCAACAGTAAAACGGGTCCATGGGTACCTCGAGTCCATTCGAAAATCGTGAATATGAGAAAATAATTTCCCGATGAAAATCGAGTACATTTGAATACCAGACAATTACATATACAAAATCATCATAATCATCACCCGTGTAAAATCACCATAAGACTCGTTTGATGATTCTCATTGTTTATTATTATTATTAGCCCCGAATTATCATCTCCCTCCGGGTGAACTCCGGGATAAAGAAATAAAAATAATACGTTGAGGCTTGAATAATTGAATTTAAATTGACGCCAGGCTCCGTCAACAGGGGAAAATGGAAAAATCATCACATTTGTCTAACACAGTTGACACACATGGCACCACGTCTTCGGTATTTTCACGGTGATTATTCGTCTTCCAGACGTTCACCAGACGACAGAGTGAAAAAAAAGCTGTCGGTTGGTGATTGACGGTTCAGTGAGTTTTGTTTGAGCGAATGGTGAAGTCAGGAAGTGAGAAATTGAGTAATTTGGGTATGAGGTGGCAGTAACGCCTGAAATTTTATTAAAAAAGAAAGGAAAATTCCGAGAGTCATTTCCCAACGGTCGATGTTTCCGATTTATTTAAGAAAAATCGGCAAACGAGTGCATAATATCCTCACCACATACCGAGTTCACCTCAGTTTGTCAAAATCACGCCTCGTACCTGCCGTGTGAAAAAGCTCAAGGAAAAAAGCGAGGGTGTTTTCTCCAAGGAAACGATCAGGTGTGTTACCATTGTGATTTCTCGACAAGGATGTACCTCCGCGGCGAGTGAAGAAATAAAAGAAGAATACAGTAAAATATCTTGGGCAAAACTCCAGGGGTACCTGCGCCTCTCTCTGCACTCTGAGAAGAATGAACAAACTAACTGAGGGCACTCCTTTGCTGAGTCTTCGGCAACAATCATCCATCTTGGCCCTTCATTAATTTCCCTTTCACGTATATCGTTAAAAAATCATCCTTAAACTTTAACTGTAGCTTAAAAACTCGAATAATTCATTTGTCAACCGCATAATAACCAGACTGGAGATTTTTCACACGAAGAATGCCTCCGGAATTCAGGAATTTTGCCTGCCCTTTAATTTCGTCCCTTTAAACCGAAAGAGCCGCCGATTCCTCTAGATTTCCATCCACTCATTTACTCATTTATTCATTTTACATGACGATGACATTACAGAAAAAAAAATTGAAATCAACTTGAATTCTTTATGTTTAAATAGCGAAAAAATCGTATCGTGTAAGTTCTTGATTATTTTTTTTTTACTTTTTTAGAATTTTAGAGGGTTTATTCTGGGAGGTAATTATTTAAATGTTTATGGGGAAATTTTTTGGGTAATATGAAAAATATGAAAACAAAAAATGAATAAAAGAGGGTGAATTTGAAAGCGGTAGGCCCCCACCGTTAAAATACCAGAGCCCCCCCACAGTGGGAGAAGTTCTCTCGGTGCCCTTAGATTTACGCGGGACCCCAGGGCCCCGTTCATTGGTGGATTCGAGTCCCCACCAGGGAGCATAACTCTATAAGAACCCTGGCAACCCTCCACAGGACAGCATTCTCAAGTTTGTGTTCTGCCAGACGACAACCTCGGAGTTATCGGCTATTCCGGGGCCTTACATCTTTCAACCCGACTGATTAAATCCAATAAATTCCAAATTCGCATACGAAAATTCTAGTGAACCTGTTGGAAATTATTTGACATTATTGTTTATACCACCGTATCAGTCAGAATGTTGTGGGAAACAGTTACGGATTCTTGTGATGTGTGTCAATGTACAAGGTATGCATCTCTGCAAATTCAAGTGAAGTGATTGTTAGCTCTAATTATTTTATTGTCGAGGAAAGGTGGGAATAGACAGGAGTCACACGTGAAAATTATTCATTCGATCAGTTCTCTGAGAATATCGATATTTTTTTGAGATGGAGGCAATTGCGACTTTTTTTTGTAGAGAATTGCAGAAAATTCACATAGAATTAATCTAATTTGAATCAATTTATTTACAATTTACCTTCACATTTTCTACCGGTTTTTCGTTATTCATTTAAAAGTTAATGTCAGGAATTTATTTAAAAATACTAATTAGTCCGTAGAGGATTGTCAAATTTATTTTGAAAATCATTCGTTCGATTTTTTTGGGAGAAACATATTTTAAATTTGAACGAACGTCTCGGGAATTTTTAGGTGATTTATTTTTAAAAACAGTTTTAATATTAAATATCGCGTCCACCTATCGATATAACCTTGTACTATAAATTTTCATTCACTCCAGTTGCGCGCCAACCTCCATCGAGGAAGTGAATCTCCTCATGTGAATGGAATAAAAAAATCTAAAAGTGCGTGATCATAACTTAAAAACTCGGATATTAAATCAAAGTCGATGCTCCATCGATCCAATTGGACCATTGGTACAAAATAAATTCATTACCACAGCACTTTTTATTGAACAACATGCACTCTTGCGAAATAAACACATGCGTGACCTACTGCTCGATTTTTAGAAATTCCTCGTTTTCTCCACTCCAAAAAATTTTTGAAATGAAATAATCAATTCATCGCATATTTTTCCGAATAAATGTAATTACGAAAATGGATTTAGAATGAATATTATCCCCGGATGCTCTGGAGCATAAAAATTCCTGGAGGTTATGTTTGCATTCCGCGTTTTCATGTTTACAAACTATTTGTATATTTTTTTAGAGAGATAGAAAGAAAATATGAAAGAGAGTGGAATTAAATTTTTGTGTTTAATTGTGGGTTTCAGGTTGTTCAAAAATGTCTTCAAAATTAAGAGTACCCCAGAGGGTACGGTAAAAAGTCGATTGAGGGGTCGTCGGCTCCTTGGCATGGCGTCGCGACGCCTCAACAGCCCTGAGCCGAGATCACCACTGCAGCTAATCAATAAAGAGAATGGAAGCGCACTCTGCAGCACCCACCAGTCACCGAGTCCACTGAAGGTAAAGAAGCATTGAATTCATTGATTTTTTGAGAAAAAAGGAAAAACTGGAAAAACTAGACAAAAGACTCCGTTGAAAATTCAATAATTCATGAAAATCGTATTTCACTCGGAATCCGAAAATCAGACGTATGACAGGTGCTGCGGATTTGAATACATTACTGATTTCGATTATTTGGGATTAGCTATTCAAATGAATTTTCTATAATGTATTCCTCACCTTGAAATAACGATTCCATTAGACCGTTGAATCAAGAGATTTTATCGGCTATTTCCTGGTTTTTCCAGATTTAAATAAAATTGTTTTTAGAATTCTCGAGCTAACGTTATGATGATTATTTCCAGATGCCATCGACGAAGTCTCGGCTTCCCCTGGAGGATTGCGATCCAAATAGCCAAGACAGTGGCTATGGAGCGAGTTTCACAGATCGTGAGGAGCTCTCGAAATTCAGATTTGCGGAGCCCCTGGGAGTCGCCCCAAAAAGGATGTCCCTGGATTCTCCAGTGCGATCTTCTCCCTCATCGAAGCGTCCCTTGAAGCTCCTCATTAAGAAGCTCTCCTCAGGCTACGAGTCTACAGAGGACGACTTCAACGATCTCCTCGACATGGACACCTTCATGGAGCCAACCTCGGCCTTTCCAAACGACCTGAACAAACTTCTCTCTGGGAGCATAATTCCTACGATGGATTCCCTGGAGAAACCCATGGAAACTGACGCAGCGACGACCCCAGAGTTTGCGAGAACCAAGCCATTGGGGGTGAGAAGATCAATATCGATAAACAACGACAGACTTATATGCAGAACTCCACCGATGTCGAGAGTGCGTTCGTGTCTCTTCCGCTCGCCCAACGCCACTTCTTCGACATCCAGACTCTCCTTCGACGAGAATAGAAATTCCCCCTATCCTTCCCCCAGTCCAAAGTCTTTCAAGCGTCCAGACCATCCTACAGACTGCAGTCCAATATTAGTGAAGAGATGCAGAACTCAGCAGAGAGAGGTTGAGGTCTCCCCGACGTCCTCTCCATCCTCTCCAGCTCCAAAGTACACCAGACATATGCTCCAGAGGAGTCACTCAGAAGCCGAGGCCCACGATCACATAAAATCGGCTGTTCACAGAAGTACAACAGACTCAGATCTGACTGGTGACTTCTCTAAAACGTGTATTCTGCCTCTGGCTGAGGGCCACCACGAGGACCTCAAGTCCATTTCTGCGGAGACACTGTCTGCCCTGATCAGAGGTGAATTCAGTGAGTCCGTTAACTCTTACAAAATAGTGGACTGCAGGTATCCTTACGAGTACGAGGCAGGTCACATCGATGGAGCTCTCAATTTATACACAAAGGAGCTCATTGAGGAGTACCTCATGAATCCCCTGACACAGACCCCTCAGATACAGCCAGACAGCAACAGGAGGAACATAATCGTTTTTCACTGCGAGTTCTCCTGGGAGAGGGGCCCCAATCTCTCTCGCTATCTCAGGAATATCGACAGAAAAATGAACAAGGAGCATTACCCTGCACTCCATTATCCTGAGATCTATCTGCTCCACGGTGGGTACCAGCAATTCTATCAACACGAGAAAGCTCTCTGCAGCCCCCAGGGTTACAGACCCATGACCCACCCTGACCACGAAGCTGATTTGAGAAAATTCCGGAGCAAGAGCAAAAGCTGGCAGGGGGAAAAACATCGCACCAATGGCCTATCTGCGAGGGCCAATCTCAAGAGACTTGGATTGTAAAAAATTGAAGAGTGATGAGGTAAATGGTGGATTACCTCGTGAACTAGTGGGGGGAACCAATGGTTTTACCAATTCACAAAATCGGCTCGAGATGCTGGCATATTTATGACGCTATCATCATAACAGTGCAAAATAATTAAACTCTCGTCCCCTGTAAATAGTCAATAACGTTGAAATTAAGTTGAGAAGAAATTATCTAGTACAATTGAACAAAAGCGCTTATTTCTGAATAGTTGATAAATACTTTGACACGTAAAAATGTCTCAGCATTCAGACTTTTTTTTTTCTCCTTGTACATAAGAGTTATATTCAGATAGATAAAGTTGTAATGAACGAGTACTAATTTAAATGAAGGAGAGTACTGCAATAGCCCGTAGCTGAATCTTCGGGACGGCTGGGCCTTTCGACAGGGCTGCTGATGATCGTGGACTCGTCCTCGTCGTAGATATATATTTCTAATGCTTCCATATGTAAATTAGGGCGGGCATCCCACTGTACAAAAGTTGACAGCCGTTTACACCGATTTTAATCAAGCAGCCCTGTCATAGGTTGAAGTTTAATGAAAAAGCGATACATTCTGCTCAGATCGTCAACTCAAGTTACAATAAAACAACCATTGAAAATAACACTATTCCGATCTTTTTGTTGCCTTTGGAAAACACCTCCCCGACGCATTATTATGGCTTTAGTCACTATTGACTGTTCACTTTTTAATAAGTTTGTTATCGATACGATTTTTTTTTCTTGTTGCGGGGGTTTTTGAATGATTGGCGAATTACTGATGAGATGTGAAACTTTTTTGTAATGGGAGGGTTCTGATGTACATTCATGTTCCACGTAATTTTGAATAAAAAAACATTGAAAAATAATTTTGTGAGGTTTATTCATCCTAAGTCTCACATTTCTTTTCATTCCTCAAGATTTATATTAAAACCATAAATAATCTTGGTAGATGAGATTATGCTGAATTAAGACGTACATCGGAAAAATACCGGTTACATGTCACAGGATCCGCCATTGCAATTACCGGGTGCAGCGAATCGACATTCAACGATAATCTGTATATCTCGAATATTCCATTGAACTGCATTAAATTCACGTACCCAAGGAGGAACATGTCAGTGTTTTTTACTGCCACAAGTAATAATATAAAATAAAAAGCAACTCGATATCTAGTCTTCGACTGTCTTTTTTTTGTAAATTCGTTTGATCTTCTGTCTTCACTCGAAATCGCTCGTCTGTTCTCAAGTGTTTAAATTTCCAGCAGCTGTTGTTAGTCGAGTTCTAACAAATATTTTAACACGTCCTTTATCAACGATGGCCCACACCCTGAAAATCCACGAAGTTGTTCCCGATGTGATCGACGAAGTTCCACCGGCTGTTGTCGATGTTACGTATGGGAATAACCTAAAAGTCGAAATTGGTAAAGAGCTGACTCCCACCCAGGTGAAGGACAAACCAGAGGTCAAATGGAATTCTGAGGCTGGCGCATTCTACACGCTCTGCATGACTGGTATTTTTTTTAATTTACGCAATCAAACCCTTAATAATTCCTCATTATGTACTCCAAACAATAATTATCGCCAGTGCGAACTCAAATTTGACATTTACGTTATTATTTCAATTATTCGATACACAAAAAAAATCGAAATATATATTAGGGGAAATAATGCAAATAAATTGGTTAGAAATTGATTGACTTCCAGATCCTGATGCACCGTCTCGCAAGACCCCGACATTCCGTGAGTGGCACCACTGGCTAGTGGGGAATATTCCTGAGAACAAGATATCCGAGGGTGAAGTTCTCTCCGATTACGTCGGCTCAGGACCCCCCAAAGACACTGGTCTCCATCGTTACGTATTTCTCGTCTACAAGCAGCCAGGAAAGCTCAGCTTCGACGAGAAACGTCTGACGAACAGGAGTGGAGACGGTCGTGGCAAATTTTCCATCAGGAAATTCGCAGCTAAACACCAGCTGGGACAGCCCATCGCTGGAAATATGTACCAGGCAGCATGGGACGACTACGTTCCAATTCTCTACAAGCAGCTTGGGGAATAAATCATCTCCATTGAATTTTTATTATTTTTTTGATTCTTCCTACTTTGCCTGAGAGGCTATTGTATACCTATGGTTCTTCCGGTGATAATAACATTCTTGAGAAAAATATATTCGTTTTTAATTACTCCCCATGTCTCCTTTTTGTCAAACTGTGCATGACGCAGGAAATATGCGTCATCTACGTCCAGCCCCATTGGTGCTCTTGAGAAAATATAAAAACGTCGGATTTTAAATCGACGTCGTCAGTTTAACGTCGTAATTCGTTGAGAATCATTCCTATGAGGCAGATCACAGGTGAATAAAAAATATCCGAGAACATTTTTCATTTCGATTGATCAAAAAAATTATTAATCCCTGAAGAAGATGTCGAAAATTTCAATTTCAATTTAATTTCAATTCAATTTCAATCAATTTCCATCAATTTCAATTCCTCTTCAGTTATTCTCGTCTACATCGTGGGGATGGCCTTTGCGGATGTAAAATCGGCTTTTGAAGCAACTGAAATCGTTCCTGATGCTCTAGACAATGCCCCATTAAAGAAGATGGAGGTGAAAATAATTTACTTGTAACAATTAATTTTTTTCGAGAGACGAAACAAGTGTATTTATGTCTAGGTCAAGTATGGGGGTAGAGCAATGAACATTGGAGACGATTTTACTCCCACAGAGACGAAAGACATTCCAGAAATTCATTACGAGTACGAGAGCGGATGTTTCTACACGCTCATTAAAATAGGTAAATTAAAAATAAATAACTATGAGGTTTTCATTGACTCAAGGGAAAACAAAATGTCTTTTAAAAATTGTATAATCACTCTTTTTTAATTACAGCTGTATAACACCCTTATAATCAGCTAGTTGCAAAATAATTGGATAATTAATCAGTGTCTCATGAATTCGAAGTGACTCATCTCTTTTAATTACCCAATTATCTCGATAATGAGCATATGAGGAGAAAACCCGAAGATCTCATTGAAATGGAAGGAGGTGGAAAAAAAATAATAATAAATGAAAAGAATTGTGTGATTTTTAAATGAAATTCCCCAGATTTGGACCCACCGTCTCGCAGAACTCCCAAATTTCGAGAATTCCAGCACTGGATCGTGGGTAATATCCCCGAGGACAGGATATCCGAGGGTGAGGTGTTCTCGGAGTATGTGGGGGCAGCTCCACCACACGATGCTGGTGCCCATCGTTATGTATTCTTGGTGTACAAGCAACCGGGAAAGCTGAATTTCAACGAGAAACACCTGGGGGACGATCGCCTCGATGGTCGGGCCAATTTTTCAGCCAAAAAATTCGCTGTCAAGTACCAACTGGGAGAGCCCATCGCTGGAAATATGTACCAGGCAGTCTGGGATGACTACGTACCAATTTTCTACAAACATCTTGGGGTTTCACCCTCCGAAACATTTTCAGAAACTGGAATAAATTGATGCATCTCAGCCCGACTCATTACAAAAAATTGACGAGTCTCAATTGTCTGTTTTTCCAATTATTCCATTGGTAATAAAATTCGTGGAAGAAATACACCCGTTTTTTTAATGTATCCCATGCACTGAGTGAAACGAGAGGAGTGGAATCATAAAGTTTGCTGAAGTATCCTCATTTCGTCAATTTAGATGATGATCTCTCCCGGGAGACAGAAAAAAAATGTGAGAACATCTTAAAAATATTAAATTTTCCATCCGAATTGCATCACTTGGAAACTCGCCCCAGGCGTCCTTGTGTTCTCCAGAAACATTCATTCCCATCCAATCTCGAAAACCTCCAGATGGAATATAAGAGCGTCCGTTCCCTCATCTGCACCGTTAGTTGAACGTCGCGTGTGTGGTGAAGCAGTCGCCATGAAGCAATCCACAGGTGAATAAAAAATACCCAAGAAAATCCATTTGGCCCCCACCTAAATAACTAACAACTTCATCTATTCTCCAGTTATTCTCCTCTGTACTCTGGGAATTGCCTTGGCGGATGTGAAAACCGACTTCGAGACAGCGAAAATAGTCCCTGATATCATAGACAGTGCACCGTTGAAGAAAATCGAAGTAAAGAAAAATTCTCCGTCATTCTGTCGAATTATCAAATAATAAATCGTCACGAGCTGTTTTTCTTTTGTCTAGATCAAGTATGGAGGCAAGGAGGTGAATTTTGGAAATGAATTTACACCGACCGACACGAAAAACATACCAGAAGTTCATTACGAGCATGAGGGTGGAGTTCTTTACACACTTGTGATGACAGGTAATTTTTTCTGTGCAATTAATTGTCCGATTGTCGCGATTTATAAAAATCAAGCATTTGAGTGGATTAGTGAGTGAAATGGCCGTGACAGATTATACAACCGAATAAAGATGTGAAAAATATAAAGAAAGAAATCGATGGCAAAGCGAATTTTTCCATCAACGCATTATCAACTTCAATCTGTTTCCTATTCCAACTTCTGTTGTATAATTCGCCACGTGATCGATAGTCAAGAAACTTTCACTACCGTAAAACAGGTTCTCCACTCACATTAATTCCTCTCTGAAATCCGAGTCATTTGTGAACTCTAGAGTTCTACCCCACAATCTTCGATCACCTCCTTATTGTCAAGGTCATCCATTAACAAATTCCTTTAGATCCTGATATACCAGTGAGGGGATACAATAGAGAGTGGCAACACTGGGTGGTGGGCAACATCCCCGAGGACAAAGTGTCTAAGGGTGAGGTATTGACCGAATACGTGGGTCCGGCACCACCGAAGGGCTCTGGCAAGCACAGATACGTATTCCTGCTTTACAAGCAGAACCAGGGATCGATAACCTTCGACGAGAGGAGGATTGGCAACAGGGACAAACGACGAAACAGATTTTCCGTCAAAAAACTCGCTGAGAAGTACAATCTCGAGGGTCCACTGGCTGGTAACTACCTCAAGGCTGAATACGACGACTACGTTCCCGTCATTCATAAACAAATAGGAAATTGAATTCCTACACTCACCCATAATTACTATTAATTGCATTTATGAGGGAGAAATCCATTGCCTTTGAAATTAACTCGACTCTAAATTAAAATAATTACACTAAAATTATGAAATAATATTGTGATTGTACTCTATTTTTTGTACTGAAAGAATAAATCATTGAAATATGAGGAACATTTTTTTTTATTTCGATAGAAAATTGCTGACGGTACAACATCGTCCTTTGGTATACCAAGTACACTAGACGATTCACAAATATTCAATGCCTATTCGCCGTAATAGTCATCACTATCAACAACAAACCTACCTATGTACTTATGCGTAATAAGCGAAATTCATTGCTTCATCCGTGAAAATAAATTTCAACACTCCCCTGAAGTTACAATAGAAAAAAAAATGATAATAAATAAATAAATACCTCATTAAGTGTTGGTACTAGGTGTCATTCGTCTGTCATAATGCCCTACAACACATACAGCAGGCAAAAGTCTCAAAGACTGTGCGCACTTGTGCATTTTTAATACCAGTAATTAACGAAATTTGCAAAATTCATTATATATAAAGTAATAGAGGTGAAAATAAAACAGTAATCTCTAGCTTTAACTTTAAATCACATTGAAAAGGAAATTAATGGCGTATAAAAGCCTAAACTTCCCTGGAGTTTGTGCCAAATTTTTTTTTATCGAAAACCTGTGGAATTCCATTCGATTTTCTCCACTCGTGACAGTCCGTCATTTTTATGTCGCATTAATATTAACGATTGAATCAGGCATGACTAGAATGTCGTGTATGCATCGTTGAAAGAAAAATTCGTTGGCTAATCTTAAACCCTAGTGTAAAAAAAAACTTAAACAATTCAATAGCCTCGATTATTGATGAATGAAAATAAACAAAAAATCCGGCGAATTCCACGAGACTTGAGCGTGTGCGTTATGCGATCCCCTTGGGCGATCATATCACTATAACTTCTTGCGAATAGATAATGCCTTTCAGACGTCATAAATACGAAATGTAAATTTGATACGTATCCGACAAAATGATGCGTTGACAATAACTCGGCGACACATCACCCGTTACTATACTGATTCAAGATTAGGCAGGTGCGTTCCTCTGGTGGACCAGTGGAACCTGGCATTTTTTTTTCTCTTCAAGGCAATACGAGATCAGGACTGACGGTGATGTTCCAGCAGAGCTCGTGATCCCTGATGTCACCCCAGCCGCCATTGCCTTTTCGCAATTTAGTCTTTTTTGCTACACTCGCTATTGTCAGGGTCAGCTGGGAGGGGAACAGATGAGCCCTCGCTGATTTCAGGACATTCTGAACTTTAGCAATCACAGCCGTTGATTCGCAGTTGTTAGTTTTGTGGTGAACACCACTGGAATATTTTTAAAATTGTATAAAATTCATTTGAATTCCAAGGAGAAATGAATAAATCTGGGATACTATGTACCATTCTCCGATGTGAAAAACCCTTGGTGCACGCATCATCATGGTAACCAGTCCAGAATCCACTCTCGGTGCAGCACCTGCACCCCTGCTCGGTGGAAGACATGTCTGTGCAACATGTTGAAGACTCCAGTCCCAATTATAATCATCATACGAGCAAAACTGCGATGCGCATTTACGCAACTTATTCCACGTGATGCGGTTAAAAGCCATTCCCATGTTATGTTTGCTAGAAATCCACGGTATCACCTCGGCCTGCATTTAAAAAAATTAATTCATTCTATACAGCAATCACTCGGGGCCCCAGTTATCAGAAAAATATACACTTTTCCATGGATAAAAATCGTTCAAGTGCGAGACACACTTCACAGTCTGTGCATTTTTATTCATTAATGCAGCAAGGTCACTCTCCAAATGTTGGATAAGAATAATTGAGAAATAAAAGAAAATTCATGACCTCGCGTCACAGCGAAATCTTGGAATCTACAATGAAGGAAGTGGTCATGCATAATGATCCTGCAAGGCTCAGTGTGATATGCGAGAATGTGTAGGCACGAATTATAATGTGCATTTACGACGTTCAACTATACGTTATCAACGTTTACGACATGATTCAGGCAGTAAGAGATAGGCATGCTCTACATAAGGTTCAATTGGCATATTCCTGTCCCTAGTTTAGCAAAAACTACTGATGCCACTGCAGTCAACACTCAACTACTCGTCAGCATCATACGTTCCGTTTACGAGAAAATTCCAAAACGTTCTATCGAAATATCTGGAGAGACCAGCACTTACTCGAGTAAAGAAAAATAAGAAAACAGTCATTTTTTGCCTCATAAAATTCACCCCATTTGCTGCGGGGGAAGTACACGAGTTGACGGTAAATCCCGAGATATTTCAATGGACGTAAAAAAAAAATCCTGAAAAATACTAAATCGCACGATAAACACCGGGGTAATTGAACTCCCGATATCTCGACAATAAATTCGCAATCTGTACACAGGAAGAGGGAGAAATGTTGAGCGATAAATCAATGATAGACCTTCTGGTAATGACTGTAGAGGCTCGGTAAGAGTTGATAAGCCCATGCGGGTGATGGTTGAATTGACTTGGTACTATGATAAAATGGAGTTGAGCCAGTGCGCCGAGTCTCAGGCGATGGATTTCCCTGATTGTCAAGCTGCTGATGCCGGGGCTGTTGATAGACGTGATGACGGTGCTCACGTCTGTCTAGGCCACGAAGCAGTTCCTTCTGGAGGACTGCGTTGACACCGAAGTACTGGGGGGGTTTTCACACATTGAACATAAAACCTGTTCCCACCGATCTTTTCCATTTTCACTTTACCCCACAAAAAAAAAATCCCTACACCCATCGATTCCCACATTTTATCACCGCGATAAGCAACTCGGCGTGAATTAATGACATCGTAATGAACGTACAATGAATTAATGATAAATTATTGGGCCAAGATTTCGCGGTATGTGCCAACAACTCTCACAACTCTGATGATTTATCAATACATGATCAATGAATGGAAATAGAATGAACGATCAATTATCATCGACAATGTGCTATTTAATGGATTACCTTACGGCTGTAGTCGGCGTAGTAGTTGTAAGTCTTGAGATAAGTCCCCAGGGAGAGAACATTGCAGCGTTCGCACGCGTGCTTGCATGTTTGCTCCATGAGCCTGAGCACATGGAGAAAATCCTCGGCCACATAGTGATCCTCCTCCAGAAATAGCACCATTCCGGTATGATTGCGGGTCACCGTGAGCTGATCAAAGACACGATTTGCCTTCCACCACCAGTGGTGCTTAGTCTGGGTGAACTTAGCCTCGCGATAATGACCGTAGAGATCCGGATGCTGAGCATTTATGCATTTTAAGGCCAAGGCTCTGAAAATAGATGATTATACAGCGGTAGTTGCCTTGGCCCTTCCACAAATTATCACATTAATTAACGATTTATTGAGGATGTCTTACTGCTGTTTATTGGTGTTCCGGGGACAGTCGTTGGGATCCTCCCCTGGAAAACTCCTGGGATGTGTCTGAATGCTGTGCGGATAGAATATCTGCATAACTCGACAGAAATCAACACTCTGGATGAGATAATTGATATCAGGATGCCAGACATCATGACTGAACACCAGAAGGGCTTGCTCGATGCCTCGAGCTTGTGCCAATGATACAATGAGATGTCTCAGGTACGTCAATCTCGAGTGAACCTGAACGACAATTACTGGTGCATCCGGTGACAGTGGGCCAAATGCATCGTCGTTATAAATTTTTTGCTCAGCATTGACTCTCTCGATGTTACGCTGAATCTCGATAATGTCTAGCTCAGCAAGACTACCGAGTGTTCCATTAGGGCCTTGATGCAGTGAGCTATTACGTCTGTCTTTTAAGAATCTGAGCAAGAGTGCAAAGTAATGGATTTTTTTTTTATTAACTATTTTTAATGGATATATTTTTTACTCTACCTGTGTAATTCTTGAGGCACAAGGGAAAACAATGTTTCATTCGGTGATGACTGAGTTGGCGAATTTCTACCGGTGAGACTGATAACGTGAAGCTGCAGCCACAGAAATGTCGCGAGGAAGACAAATGCCAGTGTCCTGATAATAGTACTTCGCCCCGATCTCGTACCTCCGACCGAGGCCCCTGATTTAAATTCCAATACTTTGAGACACTTCCCACATCAGTTCAATCATCGACTATTGCCTAGATCCTACCCTACAAAGCAATTGCCGGTCTATTCTCATCAACTAATAATTAAAGCACTCGGGCAACTCCAGTTACTTGTCATCCATTCGACACTAACCAGAGGGATCTTATCTACTTTTTCTTTTTTTTTTTTGGTGATTGTTACCTCGCGTGTATCCGGCTTTTTTTCTCGTGTACACAGACGACACTGAGTATGGCTTTACGAGTCCACGTTCGGCATCGGACGCGCTCGTTTTTCCTAAAAAATCCCAACGAAAGAAAAAAAAAAGAAAAAAAAAATGAGGAATAAAAGAGAAAAAAAGAAATAAGAAGTATTCTCCATTACATGGAGACTTTCGGTGAATAATTGAAGGAGAAAAATGAGGAATAACCCAGAAATAGATCAGTCATGTGTAATAATAGAACTTGCCTCTCATACTGGCATCCCTGGTCGGTGATTCTGAAACACACGAGAATAAAAGAACTTATCGGACGAAATCACACGAAATCGTTGGGGAATCAATCGTGAATACGCCGGGAGGTCGAGTGAAATATCGGACGTGCAAAATACTCGGTGGTATTCACCTGAAATGAAACTCCGCATTCGAGATGTTGATCGAATGCCAAAGGAATTGATCCACATTGAGGGTAGAGTAATAAACCTTTCCCGGAATTTAGGGTCGTTGCAATAAATTTAAAAAAATTAGTGAATTCACACTCAAGTGTGAAGTCACTGCCTCTGGGGCTTACAATTTATTCTTTTCTCTGTGGCACACCAACTCCACGGACTCCAGTATATATTGTCATCTGCGATAAATATACACCCCTGGGTTGGACGGAAATTACACTCATTTTTCTCAGTGCATGCAAAGATATTTTTCCATGTCACGTTCATTTGCACTCGGTCAAGTTTTTCTTTTTGTTTTCCCTCGAATTTCCCTGATAAGGTTTTACAATTTATAATTTTTCACATTTATCAGAGCGATGAATTGCAAATGCAGTGGGATAAATAGAGAGAATGAATGAACAGTTTGAGAAAAAATTGCCGATAGAAAATTCAAGCCAGCTAGTATGAATACCGACTGCTTATTGAATTCAATTCTGTATTTCTTTCTCTGTTTGCCCCCCCGGACGGCTTGCCCCACGATTGTTTATCTCTCATTGTCATTACAGCATTTATCGAGTCAACAGGGACATTGTTGTCGAGAGGATTGGGTGAGGCCCGATATATCAGTATATATCAGTATTGACAGAATCACTCATGTCGATGTATCACACGTCTGTCTCCTTTCCCTCGAAATTTCAATTGCCAGTAGAAACGGTCGATCATCGCAAGACTCGTTTTTCAAGCATTAATTGAAATTTCTATTCACTCCGAGGAAACAGTATTTTATATTGCCACAGCCATTCATCATTACTCACGTGGTCTCTCATTATTTCAAGGCCTCATTCGATTACATTCCTTCCGAGGCATGTCTTGAGCGCATATTTATGAAATAAAAATAATATTGATCTCCATAAGTCAATCCAGGTGGAGTTTTATAAATTCTCTTTCTCGATAATCTTTCAAAAAAAATACCGAGACACATATCACGAGATTAGATTCGAATTATCACCCTGCAAATATTTGTTCTCACCATTAATAAAATCTCTCTCCTTACAATCCATCGGTTTACATGTCGCACTGATTATCCAGTCTTATCCCAGCAATTATCAATAATTAATTATCATTACTGATTTGATGAACGTCAGAGTTATGGCCACAGTGAGGCACTGATAATTAACAATCAATGGGTTTTCTTGCGAATTTTTTAAATCACAAATCACTGATTCGTCGTTGAAGATGGAAAATCCGCGATGTCGTCATAATTGACGTAATGAAGTATTCGGTAATTGAGAGAACCTTGGGGATTTGATGGTGAAAGTGATTGGGTTGGTTGGCAGGGGGCGGGGGGCAAGTGAGGATTATGGGATGATGGAATATTCGGTGGAGCCGGACGCGTATCATTGGGTTGAGGAACCGAGAGCGACTGATGACCATCTCGTGAGGTTCGCGCTCGTTGAGTAACGAGAGCCCGTGGATATTCAAGTGCAAGAGAGAGGCAATACGTGTCATTGTGGGGGAGTTGTGTGCACTTGTTTGGCTATGTATGATCAGAGGAAGGGGTTGTCACGTGGCGAGGACCACGTGGATGCTGACTGAGATAAGAATGCGACAATTAGTGAACAAATGGTGACATGCAGTCGTTAATTAACGAGGAAAATTCCTCTCAACATCTCACTATTCTATCATTCTAATCTACGGAGAAATGGGTGGTGTGTATGGATAGGAGATGGATGAACCGGAAAAAATGGACTCTCAGTGGATGAGAACGGACATTTAATCATCATTTAATCTGCGTTAAGGATAATTAAGTGACAGATCGGTGAAAAAATGTTGCGGCAATTTTTGAATGCTCAAGAGGCAGATGCTCAGTTGATCCCTTTAATCTCCGGAGTGGAACGAGGGTCTTGGGTAAAAAAGAAATAATTACAATGGATTCGATGATATGTAGGTCAGCTGAGTTGGCTCGATGCGAGGAAACAATGCGGATATCCGGGTGTATTCTCCGTTCACCGGGTGATTTTCAACCCCTTGAAGATATATCCAGTGTCTCGTGGTGGTTGAAGCAAGTGGCAAGTGTATGTAATGGTAGCGGGGCCAACTCGACGCCTCTGATACTACAGATAAGCCCTGCACTTTGGCCTTTTGTCAGGTTATTCGATCGGCACCTGCGGCTACCCTTCACCCAAATATACCAACCACTTTTCGACTCTAGTTTACGAGATATTTACACGTCTTGATAAATCTGATTCAAGTGAATGATGAATTATCTATGGGATTTGTCACCCGAATCGGCATGAATTTCGATCTGAAATTTATAGAATGTTATGGATATCATTAGTCCTGATAGTACACTGACAAAGTGGCCCCTTTGCATGCTAACCTCCACATACATCAATGACAGATTGTCGATAATGGCTCCAAGGCTGATTCGAGGTAATTGCCGGCGAAAAGTTTGGCCTGAGGCGATCGATCCGTGAATTAATCGAAATACGATAATCCGTTGTTCAAGTTGAAATCGTGAGGAAAATTATGATTTATAGGAGACTGACGTGACTCCCTCTTAATTTAAAATTCCGTTATTCGATACTAAAAATCGCTGATGGATAATTCGAATGGCCTAAATGAATTTTTGGTAAATTATGAATGATACATCGGTGAGGAAATATTGTTGGAGGTACTTCGGTGAGGGGAAGAGGTGGATTTTCAAAGATAATTGAATGAAATATCCATTCATCCGAGCTATTCCATCTGACCCCAAAACCTCCAACTCCTGCTAAATAATACGTTAAACTGGTGGGATCGCTTTGCTGTCGCAGTGGCGCATGCACACTGTGCATTAAAATTCAGTCGACGGGTATGAGATTACCTTTGGAGATGATCCAAAATGTTGGAGAACGACCCATAAACCGTAAGCGAGAGATACACGAGCTTCAGATGCTGCTGCATGTCGAACTTGCATGTAGGGAAATAACAGTAAAGAGGCGGGAGGGGGGCACGTAGATTGTACATGCAAAGAACAGTTTAATTGAAACACCAGTGCACCAATCCACCAATTTCAAACCCTACAACAATCGTTATTTATTTTCAATTAAATTAATTATATCCAATCAAATCCGATTATATCCCCACACCATTTTTAGGCGATAATGAAACGATAATAAGGAAAAACGAGGAATGAATGGATAACAATATAAATAAATAATGAAAAGTAAAAAAATAAAAGAGGGGAAATATCGGGGTGAAAAAAATCGCGGGAACAGCATTTTGCGGTTTCTTTCTCTTCCATAAATTATTTTAACGACGAAAGACCCCACGACTTGAGTTGCATGCAGAAAACACGATTTTATGGTGAACAAACAGGATAACACCCTGGGAAAAATGTGGAACTCCACATGCAACCTGAGGTTCGCATCGAGGAGTAAAAAATGAGGGTCTCTCATTTTTTCGTTTTTCCCAAAGGTTTGGCACACGGATAATTCTCACCGCGAATGAAGTGGTCACACATAACGGATCATCGGTTTCCTCCCGGCATCGGTTAACGTTAAAAAATATTATTTATTTGGCCAAGGTTGAAACCGGTTTTCCAATGTACTCATCACGAAGATGAATAATAATGACAAGTAATTATGGTTGTACTTGTGATGTTTGATTGTTCACATCCTGCCGAGGTGTGTCGACGTCTGCTCATTTGATTATTTATCCTTCAATGTATTTTTTTAAGAACAAATTATCTTCGATAACGAAATAAAATTATTCTGTTTAAATAATGTTGTTGTTTTTTTCATTCCCATGCGGCGCAAGCCGTTTCTGAATTTAATATTAATGAAATCAATTAATGAATGGAGTGAATTCCAATCGAAATCCCCTTCTCAGTCATTTCTACCGAGAAATCGACAAATCGATTGGACATTTGGACAGTATAAAAAATGGCCTTGCTGGGTTATACCTCTCAATCGCATTAACCTTCTCCGATAAATTCAGCTCAACTACTTTTAAACAAAAAGCAGATATGTGTGAATAATTCGAGGGGCCAAACGTACCTCGAAAGGAAACGGAATTTAAATTGGAGCGCTGGCAAACTCATTAACGATAATGTGGTATTTCAATTAATATAAAAAGCCGGTTACACAAACGAGAATTTCCGCTGCACTGTTTCGATATAAGTAAGAATGGAAACAATGCGGGTTTCAATGAATGCATGAATACGTAATTACTGCAATTGAAGGCATGATTATTCATTAGCTTGAGTTTTTACCGGGACAAAAAGATAATTCTATGATTGATTGGTGATTGAAACTATTTTATTAACGAAGAGGTAAACCTTCGGTTACCCAGAAAAAAAAATCAAATAATTATTCGCGGAGAATATGAACTAGAAGCATCCGAACGAATTTCATATTGAAAATTAATCTTTCATATGAATATTAATATTTTTGAAAATAGTGTCTAACTTTCTTACTGACAGTTAAAGTATGTGTCTTAAATTAATCCTCAGGCAGATTGTCTCATAATTTCTACATTTAAAAAGCGATATGAAAGATGAATATCTCCAGAGCACGGGAATATAATGGACATGTTCTCGAGTGGAGAACGAGAAATCCGGCGTTAAGCAAACGTTGTTCCTGAAACTCCAAATGCCACCCCCAGAGTGCATGTTTGGGGTCAATGAGAGAGACAAGGTAAACAAAACTAAATGAACGACTTGTCTCGAGTGAACTATCGATTTTCCTCCATTCCCCATCCCAATCCTTCGAAAATAGTTTAAATGAATAAATTACTCACGATGACAGGTCCAGCAAAACCATCACGTTTCAACCCCGTGGAGATGGACAGCCGGTTAAAATATCGTGTCAGCCCCGCGCATCCTTGGACATTGAATAATGCAGATGAGATGAAGAGTTCCACATGTGAACTTCTACCTCGGCTTCATCCACCCAGATGACGAAAAAAAAAAACTGATAACCAGGGGATGTACACTTGGGGAGATGTGTTTGTTGAGACGAATGATTTTTGGAGATATCCTGCTAGCTCCTAGAGAACGACTCCACCCTCGAGCATATTTCTGTCACGGGGAGAGCTCACAGTGTGCACTGGGGCTGGTAAAGCTGGAAACCAGGGGACAGCCCTCCAATTTCATCAACGCCATCCCTCGGCCTATCCCCTCCGCAAGAAAATCAATAGGGGTGAGTTCACCGCTGCTTTACCCGACACCGGAACTATTCCCACACCCCGACGAAGAGAGAATTTCAATGGAACCAAATGTCCCACGTAAAAAATCACAATTTCTTCAATTTACGTTGAAAATTTAAAAGAACTGTCTATAAAATTGTGTATGAAAAATATTGGGAAATATTTGAAAATATAAAAATAATTTGAATATTGGAGGAATTTAATTAGGTGAATAGCGGAGGGGGTAGGAGTTCTTGGGGATGAACATCAGCTGGTAAGCTAACAGCTGCTGATAAGACTGCAATGATAAACACCTGTGAATGTGAAGTACAGATTGAAATCGATAAGCACTCGGACAATTTCCTGTGATCACGACTAAAAAATAATATTGCTATGACACTGTAAAATTGTCTCCGAGATCTTGATCTCTTTTAGTGCCCGAACTGTTGGAAGCCACGTTCCACGGGGAGTTGCTTACTCCACCTCGTTAAAAAAAGATTCACCAGTCGAGGGAAAAAAGATTGGCCTAGCTATGAAGGGGCACGTCTTTTTCTACTTGATAAGGGGACAGTTGGAGTACCGTGGGCAATGATCGATATCATTGATGCAAATGGGGGGTGAATGACCCTCATGATACCTCCAATAAATTCTCTGGTTGATTGTAAGTCAGTTGCAGTGAGAAAATCGTACGGACTCCCATGAAGATGTGTGGGTATCTCTGGTTGCGATATTCCTTCGATAATTCTGGTTTATCTGACCTTAAAAGGAATACCGCTTTACAATTAATTATGCGATGGGGGTAGACTGGAGAAGTGTATCTGGCACAGACAGACTCCCACTTTTTCCCTCAGCCCTGAATGGCATACCAAGGGTGTGGTATAAGTGGTGAGAACTCGATGATATGCCGTACAATAAAGAAATTCCTCAGGTCTAACCAGCACATCGATTGCTTTCATCTCCATGGGTTGTCTGATCATTGGGGAAAATGAAAATTCATTGATGGGGATCATTATTCCATCGGGGATTCGTTCACGAGATCCAAAGAATTTCCCCATTTTTTTCATTTCTAAATTCCCAGTGGAACCAATCCCATAATCTCACTCCATCTATCTCACCAATTCCCCTTCACTGATTCACTTTTTCTATTTATCATTCAGCGCAGGAACAGTGACTGAATAAATTAATGAATTAATAATGGTAATTGCATTCATTCGGTGAAACTTGAATTGTCGTGGTGTGAGGTGTTTCTCTGGGTTTATAATTTTCTTAGTGGTCTGCTGATGAAAAACAATAAGGATCTCGTGGTGAATATTAAAAGAACACTCGACCCGAGTGAATTGAATTGACGATTCAGTGATGAATGATCGGGTCGAAACGAAATTCTCCATCAATGCGAAACGAATGGGGTTTGAAGCTTCTTTAGCAACAAGTTGCTACTCGGTAAGTCTCTCACTCTGAGTATGCTATAATCAACAAGTGACTCGGTCTTCTTGTTCCCCATCCCTTCTGGAATTCATATATATCGGGCTCTACAGGTGGGTAGACTGAATTTTAAGACGCAATTGTCAAAGAATCCGGACAATTATTCATGCGATAAAACACCGAGACAGTGATCATCATTCTCCTCACGTTTTTGGTGAATAAAAATGATGATGGGTTTGCTCTTCAGACTGAGAGACAGACTCAAGCGATTTAGACGAGACTGAGGGATAATCCGACGTTGAATTACCACCGGGGGATATATTTTTATTGGGCAAAATGAGAAATAGAGAGATGAATAAAACGCCAGATACCATTGTACGTGTGTTGTGTAGCCCACATGAACGGTGAAATGAATTTGAAGAATATGATGATTTCTGGGGCGCCGAGCGTTTTAATAAAGCCTCGAACGTGTCATCCCGGTAGTTCATATCGTGACATTCCTGGAGATCCAGAGATTCCATGAATGGTCGTGACGTCGATGCTAAATTCATACCCCAAGTGATTAATCCTTACCATCTTCAAGCCATCACTGGTACTGAGTACTGAATATACATGAAGTCATCGGGTGTTCCACATGAAAATTCACTCGGTCAAAAGACACCCCTATAATCCATTATCAGGGTGTACTGTGGTGGAGGGGTAAAGTTGAAAGATGGAAGAATGGGCAATAGTGAAGCCTGATAATGGTGATAGAAAGGGAAATATGGGGATGTGGGTGGGTGTATAGCTGGGGTGATGAGGAATGAGGGAAAAGGTGATGCAGGAAATGATTGAGGGTGGTGGTAAAACGTTTCTCTGGACCATGCGCTCTGGATCGACGTGGGGGGGTAGGGGTACGGGACTTGGCCGTCGAGCGAGATCGTGAGGATTGAAAGAGGCAACGGTGGTCAAAGACGCTTGGGAGGCACGCGTGAAAGCCAGACCGGGGGACAACAGGTTGAATAATCGAGGGGTTAACCATTTTTACCACGAAATCGTAAACGTATTTTTACACCGATTTTTTTTTTTATGTTCTCTTGGATTTTTACAGACCGCGGATTTGCGACGATGCCGCGGGGCCGGCTCAAGTCACCTATCGAGGGCTGCATAAGCTCTGAACTCCTGCACCAGGACTAGCGTTACTCCTGAAGAATCGACGCGCTCCGGTAAGTCAAATTATCCAAATTATAATTATAATAAAATATATGTTGTTTAAACCGAAACAAATGAAATTATTTCAAAGAATTCGTCGATTTGACAAATGTGCAATTGCAATATTTGAATTGAAATTTTGATTAAATGATAGAGTATAAAATGTCGGGGGTAGTTTTAATCAGTAAACGCACGTTGGAAAGTAAAATACCGGGGATTCCTTTGATTGCCAAACGGAAGTCGATGAATTTCCTTTGCCACATCCTCTCTCTCATTTCCATGTGTCACTCCCAGATTCATCTGCACACATGCTCTCTCATCTAGGTAAAATAACAAAGTTTCCGGTTGGATTTATGTGTACATGGTCAGAGCACATACCTGACAACTAAAATTTTGTCCCCCCTGGGTGGTGGGTAGCACTAAAACGACAAGGTTAATGTTTAATAGAGTGATCGTTAACAAGGTTACAAAGCAATCTGCATAACCTGGTATAACCGGGCACTAGGAGGCTACTTTACTGCTGTTACCTCTAGAGTCTAACGTCGGGAACCCCCGTCTCTGTAATTAACGGTGATAACGCTATTACGGGTAACGTCAGAGGTGGTAACTGATAAGACGAACTAACTCCGTACGAATATTTTCCCTTTTCCTGTCACTTTAATAATTTTTACCTATGTCGAGTAACTTACACAGGTTATTCCGTTCTTTATCTGTTTTTCTTTTTCTATTTGTTCGCTTGTACGGTATAGCGTAATGAACGTAATGGTGAGTCGTGAGTCGTAATAATTATCAATTGACAGTTGAAAATTGCGAGAAAATTTTCATAAACGCGTTAATTGTTGTCACATGTAATTAAAAAACGTTCACTGCGAAGAGAAGAATAGATAGCAGATGGTTTTTAAAATTGAAATATAAATTAAACTAAGTAGTGTCTCACACGTGCATAATCCTGTAAGCGGTTTAATAATCATGCCAGGCAGGGGATAGGCCCCCAACAGAGATCAACGTATTCATGAGTCTCATTAAGGATTCATGGCGTATTTGAGATATTTCGATTGATGGCTATCAATTTAGGGACAAGAATGGGGGGGTTGCAGGTGTGGGATGTTGAGACGAGTGAGAGCATAGGATGAGGGGAGAGAACGGAGGCTTTGGGGGTAGAGCATTTTCCGCAGTGGATAACGTAATTGACGAAGTAACTCGTTTAGAGTGCAATATCGCGCGACAAAGTGGCGAGACGAGGTAGCAAAATGGATAGTGGAGTGAGTGAGAAAGAGGCAGAGACACAGAAAGTGGGCGAAATGCATTTAAATCACGCACTGATGGATCTCCCTGATAAATCAGAAATAATAACAATTAATGTGATTTTAAATGGGGTAAAATGAATTTTGTTCGAGCTTTGTCAATTCATGTCTTCAATTTGCTATTAGCGAAGGATTGAAGTTGTCAATTCGCATGAGTAGATGTGCGTAAGCGAGTTATCCTGGACTAAATGAGAAATGACTAATGGACCATCTTGGAAAGTTACGGAGAAACGTGAGTTTATACGTCGGATACAGGATGGAGAGTTGTCTTTCGTGAGTTGAAGAGCTCCTGGATAGAGCGATATGACTAATTGGAGACCGTTCTGGGGAGCTCTTCGGGTTTCTGCCTGTTAACTTTGTTATAATCTCAGCATGCGGCTTGAGTTCAGCATCAATACAGGGATTAACGCCATTTATTCTTCGTGTTATTGAGTCAGACGCTGAGACAAAGATTTTCACCGTCTCAGCATCGTGGAGCTTTTTTTTTTTCATTCATTTTATTCTAATAGTGGTAAAAATAAAATCTCAGGCTGGGAGACACGTGCATGACCACGTCGACCATAATTTCCCAGTGGTGACGTCTGACACGATTTTTCTATTAGCCTGGGGATTCTTTTTCTCGGGGTTTATACACTCTTTCATGGTGGTGAGTCCGGCGATTTGAGCTTTTTGGTCAAACGCCTGTACGTGACCGGTTTTTGAGATTTATGGAGGGTGAGAAATCGTCGGGAATTATCGGAATTATTTTATTTTTGATAATGAGACTGGCTCGAGTGGATGCCACTTGATCTGGCTGGTCGAAGCGAGAGGACACAATCCCTTCACACCTGTCGATTGCAAACCATACTGATGTCAATCGGATGAGCCCTGGCTATTCAATTCAATTTGAATCACCTCAGGTTCAGCGGTTCAACTGGGCATTGATAATATCAAGTGGAAAAAAAACTCAAATCAATTATGCAAAATGCATGGATTTATGTGAATTGCCCACCATTTGCCAAAATTACCGCTTTTCTGAGGTCTCAGACAAATTGTTGATCGGATTAAGAGGACATTTTTCCGATGAAAAATTTTCCTCAACTATGAAAAGAGATTTAAAAATATCTTCCGCATGAAACCCTTGAGCAAACGAGTCCTGAGCAAATAACCGAGCGTCTCGGACCATTCTTCGGTCATTCTTTCCTATAATTACTAGAAAGAGACACTGATTTATCCGTCGCGTAAACGTCGTGAGAATGAAGAAAAAGTCTCCCCAACAATATACCACCACCACTTCTTTCCTTCTCGTGGTTCATTCCACGGGAATAATGCAGCCACCCTTGGGGACTGTGCTCTTAAGAAAATGCTGATTGATTCCCCCTCCTCCACCAATTGTCCTTCCAATGCTTCTGCATCAACCCACAGCACGATGATTCATACTGCTTATGTACAAATCCTCATTGTAATCGAGAATGGCTAATTGCCCTCGAGAGTTTTCCACGTGTTTTGATATATTTTTTTTTTTGGTGACATTGTGAGGTGATAATGAATGAATCCGAGGGAAAATCGTTCACCCATCAGTAAAATTACTGCCACTCGGTGCCAAAAATACCGGAAACCTGGAGAAAGAGTTGGTAAAATCGAAACCATTCAGTCATCGATTTTCTCAATTTTTTTTTTACACCTCCCTTCATCTCTTTCAATTCTTTACCTATAGGTTGACGATGAGGGAAATTGCCTCGCAGCTCGCCTCGATGCCTTTCAATTCATTCGCATCTTCCACTTGTACACCACCACCAACCCCTCATCTTCCTCATCTTCCCCGCTTGGTTCCTTTTCTCCGGTTGGAAGACAATTAAGTTCTCCTGGAGTCATCCTGACACGGGCAAGTGAGGTTCGAGGAGTTTTTTTTTTTCTCAGATGCTGTTGGTGGCATGTCAGGGGAATATTTACTATAAAAATTCTTCAATATTGATTTTTCATCGATGATTTATCCAGAAGTTGAGGGAGATGAGCAGTGATTTCATTGAGAATTTTCAGGACTATGTTGCAGGAGAATTCCGAATATTTTCAGAGACTGGTAAACCAATTGTGAGCCACACGAAAAACATTTTACCAGTAAAATCTCATTTGAAAAAATCCGAGGCTTTTACCTCCCCCATGCGCTGACGAAAACACTCTCTGATTTGATTCCCAGGTATCGAAGATCATCGAGTGAAGAATAACCTGGGAAAGATGGCAGGTGTGGCATGGAGCGGATGGCTTCAGCGCTGTCGAGAGTCCCGTCGACTAGTCCTAGTGATTGTTGCTATCGCCCTACTCCTAGACAATATGTTACTAACAACCGTAGGTAAGTTCCAATAAATAATCAAAGAAGAACAAAAATTATGAAAATTATGAAAATCCCGAGAAAAAGTGTGAGTCACTTTTTTGAAAGACCAAGTGATAAAAAAAAAAGTTAAAGCCTCAGTAGAAATGGCTTAATGAAAAAGCTCTTCCTCCCCAGCTGTACACCCTCACGTAATTATTTCCTCTAATATCGGCGCGGATCTGGCGATAAAGATTGCCACATTTAATTAGGTATCCTTTCGAGTAACAGTACAAGAGGAAGAGAAAAAAAAAAGAAGCAGAAGACAAGAGAACAGAGAGAGTGAGTTAAGTTGAGCTTGAAAATCCTTTCTCCCTATTGGCGAGGGAAAATAAAATGAGTGGAGAGATTGAGAACCGGAAAAAAAGTGAATTTGAAAATTTTTCAAGTCCACCAGACCTTTGTCTATCGTGTTTCGACGAATGCCACATTTTCCTGGAGTTCTTAGGGTCGACCTGAAATAGTTAAAAGGGTCAAGTGGCCAACGCCTTCGCACTTGCCATAAACTTCTTAAACTCCTCAATTCCGGTATTTAGAGTAAAAAAGTGAATGTATTCGACGGAAATGGACAGAGGGCTTTAATAATTTTTTATTTAACATCGGGGATATTCTCTAATTTGATATCCTCCAATATGTACGGGATCGCCTTATCAAATATCTCCTGGCAAATAAATTTCACTCTCGACTGAGCATTGAAAAGAAAATCAAATGTTAGTCTCTTGTCCCCATGCAGAAACACTCGTAAATTTCATTTCCGTCCGGGGGATTCAGGAGAATTGCCAATCGCATTACGAAAGAGTATACGCAAGTATATGCTGTACAAGGCTATATACCTTCTTCGATCAGTCTTGCTGAGGAAAAATGGATGGGGATTGATACGGGGATTTGTCGAGGGGACATTCCAGCGTGCCTAATAATTCCACGATACATCAAACTTCTGGGCTGAGAAAAAATGTGTAAATTGAAAAATACAATTGTTTCGAATCTAAAAAATGAAATTAATGAATAATCGTGACGACACGTCTGATTGCGAGTGCTGAATATTAAATTTGACTTGAATTTAATTTTAAATATTGAACTATTCGAAATAATTTCCGGTAATTGAATAAAAATTGAATGTCCAAAATGACATGTCTTCTAAATAATTGCAAATGTCACTTTAATTAATATTTTTCATTTGACAATCGAAGAATCTATTTATGAAGGCTCCGAGAATTATCACTCGTATTTACTTCGTAATCTTTAATTCAGCAGTCATTAATTCAGTGTTGTCTGAGCTATCGGAGTGAGAATAGTATAAAAAGAGGGGATAAAAAATATATAGACACTCGGTATGTCACGGCTGTACCAATCCAGATAAGTGGTCATGCATTTATGGAGTTCCTCCAGATGCTCCAAATGGTTGCCACTTTTCACGCTTAGTCTTTGCGTCGTGAAATCAGAAGGTTGAAAATAAGACAGATAACCGAGGAATTATGAGGTGGGGAAGAAAAAAAGAATATGTCTGGAGGAGCTGGGATTTCAACCCAAGACTTTTAGCATGCGAAGCAGACACTCTTCCACTGAGTTACACCCCCAATACAGAATCCTTTAAAAAAATTTTAACCACTCATAAGCTGGCCTGGGAGTGAACCACGAATTTTCTTGCAGTACCCATTATTCCGGGATTTTTATTTGACATTAATCACCCGAATGGTACGGAGCAACCAGACACCCTGATTGCACAAACAACTCAATCATCAACTCTACCTTCACCTGGTGTACCAAATCTGCCAGGTAAATGCACATGTCCCCTGAATGATTCAACCAAGGATCTGCTATTTCTTCTCAATACTTCAAATGTCGCGGGGCTGACTTCACCCGGTGAGTCATTAATTTAATTACTGTCTAGGTAATGAGAAAAGTAGCAAGTGAATTTTTCAGTTGAATTTTCAATAAAAACAAATGAAAAATCAATCTTTGAAATGACACAATTGAAGGTTCAACTGCAACAACACTTAATCTATCAACCACCGTGGAACCCAAGAAAGACATTCGCCACAAAGAATTGCTGGAGGAAACCGTAGCCGTGGGTATGATGTTTGCGTCCAAAGCTTTTGTTCAGTTGTTGACAAATCCCATTGTTGGCCCTCTCACTCACAAGTATGTCCCACTAATAATTATCACAAAAGAATCAGTAAAAATCTCTCAATTTAACAAATAAATCTCTGCAGAATTGGTTACAGCATCCCGATGTTTACCGGTTTCATCATAATGTTTCTATCAACTCTGATATTTGCGTTCGGTAGGAGCTACAGTATTTTATTTCTTGCAAGAGCTCTTCAGGGGATAGGCTCGTCCTGCTCAAGTGTCTCTGGTGATTTGAGAATTATTTTCACAGCAATAACACTACCGCCCCATAAAATCCCATCGATCGGCTAAAATATTCAATTTTAGGGATGGGAATGTTGGCTGAAAGATACCAGGATGACAAAGAACGAGGTAATGCTATGGGAATAGCTCTCGGAGGATTAGCCCTAGGAGTTCTGATAGGTCCACCTTTTGGGGGTGTTATGTACGAATTCGTTGGAAAATCCGCACCTTTTCTCATTTTGTCGGCATTAGCCCTCGGTGACGGATGTAAGTGCAGAATAAATGAAAAAATATTCCATAATTGAATCGACCATCCTTCTCTAATTAATAAATTTAAATTTAGTACTGCAACTCCTGATGCTCCAGCCCTCGGTTGTCTACACAGAGGCTCCACCGCCCTCTCTCAAAGCCCTCGTCACAGATCCTTACATTATTATTGCTGCTGGTAATTCAATCGACGATAATTTTCAATTCCAATTTCCATATCATTCGATAAATTAATATCTGATATTTAACTCGCGGCGTACTCTAGGTGCAATAACATTCGCAAATATGGGAATAGCGATGTTGGAGCCGAGTTTACCAATCTGGATGATGGACACGATGAATGCAAAACGGTGGGAACAGGGTGCTACATTTTTACCTGCTAGTATCAGTTACTTGATTGGTACGAATCTATTCGGCCCTCTAGGCCACCGAATGGGGAGGTGAGTCGATCAAATTACTGATTAAAGCTATCACTCAGTTTTGGTAATTATCTGCAGGTGGTTAGCTTCATTAATTGGCCTCGTCGTCATTGGTTTCTGCTTGATGTGTGTAAGTACATGGAAAGAGTATTCTCCATGAGAATACACAATTTATTGAGTGCCTATGATTTTTTCCACGCAGATACCTCTTGCCACTCACATTGATCACCTCATAATACCCAACGCCGGTTTAGGCTTCGCCATTGGTATGGTCGACAGCTCGATGATGCCTGAACTCGGTTATCTAGTCGATATACGACATTCAGCAGTTTATGGGAGTGTTTATGCAATTGGAGATATTGCATTTTGTCTTGGTTTCGCTATTGGTAGGGATTATCCCTCATCTCTTCATTTTGAGATAGAAAAATCAATGGATTGCATTTTTTTTTTGAATTTATTACAGGTCCTGCATTGAGTGGAACTTTAGTTAACACCATAGGTTTCGAGTGGATGCTCTTTGGCATCGCTATCCTTTGCTTTTTATACGCTCCACTCATGTACTTCCTCAAGGCACCTCCAACCAAAGAAGAGAAGAAGGTCTCCCATTCTTAACCGATCAATGCATGCGATTTGAATAAAATACCATAAAAATTGTGTCTAATTGTTATTTCCTTTCAGTCCCTCATTATTGGAGAAAAATCGTCAGTGAGGTACGTTACTTACTCCAACGAGGAGGACGAGCAGTAGAAGCGTATCTAATTTTTTTTTTTAGATTTCTCATGTATCTTACGTAGGTGTTACTCCTCTCGAACATAGAAAGTCATTACTTGGTAAATGAGAATTTTTCATTCTTCGTGTCTAAGGAATACTCGGATTACTTAAGGGGTCTCTTCTGTCGGTTCCTTCAGTGTTTAATTAATTAAATACTGGAAACACTAAAACAACTTTTTGTCTTTAGAAGAATCGCTGAGTTACGACTAATCGTTATTTGAGAAGACCTTTTAATTATCCAGTGAAGTGGAAAAATTAGAATTAACAGTAAAAATAATATTTAGTATTCATTACTAATTGATCGATTGCTCTCTGAAGTAGTATTAATTACTCTTAGATCCTACGTTCGTAGTGAAATCATGTTAATAAAAGAATACTGTAATGAAAGACAATTTTAAACTCCGATTTCTCCACTTCAAAGTTATAAATTCCAATATAGTGTAGGATTTTCGTTGAAAATATGCATGATGCATGTTCGTGGGCTATGTGTACCATCGTAAACTAAGAAATTATCAAAGAACCGATAACTAGAGACAACTACAGAGAAAATGTGTGGAGGGATATGAGAGAGCCTAGTCGATAGTCGGAACAAGCGGGCTGATGATAAATAAAAACCCAAATTAGTATTCCACTAACTGTAACTGTATTTCTAATTATCTAACGAAGCATTGAATCCGCCACAAAAGTAACAAGTGATATAAGTGCAAAATATCGTCATCCGAGGATTGAAAAAATACGAAGGAATCGATGAGTGATTGATGCAATCGATTGTGAGTGTAATTGTCTCTCGGGGATATCGATTTACCGTTTAAATTAAAAAAAAAATTTTTAATGGACGAGTCACCTGGCCTGGATTCCCTGAATGGCTGCAGGGAAACCGAGCACAGCAGCCAGGTCCCATGAAGAGCTCCCCAAATCAATCGGAATAATTAATTAACGATCAAATAAATCGAGGATATGCATCTCGCGATGACTCGATGTCTCCCGGTGACAAAAGTTGAAAGTACCGATCAAGAGTTGGATAATATCCAGGTATTGGAGATATCGAAAAGCGGATCGACGATGTTTACAGAAATAGGTTTGAGACATTCGTCATTGCGTTCAGAGGGACGTAAGGGGGAAAATGACAAGGTGACAATGAATCCTCCTCGAGAAACTTACACCCCACGAAATTATAAGAATTATAATCATTACAACAATTATTCAAGTGCAAAAATTAATGAAAAACCAAAAAAAAAAAAAATTCAATGTATTAGAGTAGGATCAAAGCAGAAATTTCGTCGTACTGAATTGAAGTTGAAATAATAAAATAATCTCGCTTCCGCATTGCAAGCTCTATTCGATGGAAACTGTTCTCAATGTTCTCAATGTTCTCAATGTTCTCAATGTTCTCAATGTTCTCAATATTCTCAATATTCTCGATGTTTATCAATGTCTCGATGTTAGTAAGATAATAAATATAAATTGCATAACCAATGATTACTGTCGTGTATTTACCGGCAATTGTCGTGCGTACAACGTTCAGATCTTATGAGCTATCCGATGAAAAGAAAAAACGTTTTAATTGATTTAATTAGCGACTGGATGGAGGAATTGCGGGGAATAGAAAAAACCCGGGAAGATCATTGTCATTGGATGATACACTAATATTTACCGTAGGCTAAAGCATTGGGTTCCATTGAGGAAATTTAGTGTAGGATGTCGTTGAGGGAGTTTCTCGGGGGGAATTCTGGAATAATTTATCAGTTGCTACGGCAGCTACTCCTATTACGAAATGCGAGTCAATTGAAGAAGAGGGGGTTAAAAAATAGATTATAGCGCTTTGACGAATGTCTCCCAACATCGTGTGATAATGGATGAGGTGAGGAAAGTTCAAGCGACAAGACGATGACGACGATAACGTAGAGATTTATGGAATAACGAATAGACAGATTAGACCTGCTAACAACTCCTTAACTTCTAAAAGATATGTATAATCTCTTGCGTTGTACAAATCCACTTGCTTTGGTACTTAGCGAATAAATGATGTAATATTAACTGTAATCGGTGTAGTAATTGCCGAGGCTCATTCGAATTGCCGATGCAATCAGAGAAATTTATATAAAGAGGAATAGGAGTAAAGAGATTGGGCATGAGGGAAGTGGGCCCAAGTGGCTTCGGACATATCGATCATATATTGGGCATACAACGAACATTAAAGATCGTATTGCGTTTGTATTCAGTCAACTAGGATTAATGATTGATTATCGGAGTCATTATGATTACGCGAGATGGGGGATGCGGATTATTTATGTATCCAGAATATTTTAATCGGGCTGCTATTGTGAACAGACAATAAGCAATGAATCTAAATGACTAGGTGATAATAGAGAATAATTGTTTACGTAACTCATTGAATTCTATGTGAGAGACAAATTTATAGCTTTTTATTTTTGAGTTTCTAAATCAGCCTGCTTCGATCATGTAATTTTCTTTCATTTGTTCCGTGTCTCTCTTCTCGTAATCCTTCCACCAGTTGATGAGCAGTTGAATTGATTAATTATGATACTGAGTGATGGAATTTGTTTGATGATTATTTGACGGGATTGAGATTTGATGGGACACGACAGGAAGAGTTTAAACGTTAATTAGGAATATGTAGATTTAGTAATGAGCTGGTGCATGGGTCCGATACAATGAGCAGAGGCAGAGCAACTGATGAAAATCATCGAAATATCGTCCTCTACGTAATGTTTTCAGTTTCATATGTGAATTTATCGAGTTTTAATGATTAATTATAGCGTCGTAATAAAAATAATATATTGCGTAATCTTGGGCTTGTTATGGTGTATTGTGATGGAGTTGGGGAGAGAGGCTAATGTGTAAATTGCATTTTATGGGTATCATACGCTGTAACAGTTATTAATCGAATAAATAGATAATTGTCGTTAATTGGGAGATTTTATTGTTCTTTACTTTTAATACAAAGCTTCGGAGGTTTTTGAGATGATTTCTTGGACTTGGGCGATCGTTGAGAGCGAGGCTCGCAGGGTTTCACTCACGGAATCTGAAAAATCAAGAATTCATAATTAATTCGTGCATTTCGTCACGAGACCGTTATCATCAGAGAAGTTCTTCTCGGCCGAGTAACGAACGATATTTTGATGATTGATAAATATTTGATTGATTTTTACTCGGTCCAGGAGGAAGGGCTGGAATATCCGTCATCTCATCAACTCCGAAAAAATCTTCAGAGGAATTAATTCTTTTTATACGAGCATTTGTCTTCTCTAGAAGAGATTTGTTCAGTTCAATTCGTTGAGAGAGGGCTGCCAGTTGAATCTAAAAAGTACTTGAGATTAAATTAAAATTTCTTTAGTTACTGAAAATTTTTAATTACGTCGATATCAGTGTCCCTTGGCACGACATATGATGCCTGTAATTCGTCTGAGATGTTGTTGAGAAAGGTAAAAGGCTCCACAGCCTCTTCCTTCGCACGACTCAGAGATATCTTCAGATCTTCGTACGAGAGGTCGGTCACATCTTGTATTTTTGATTCATTCACAGATTCTTCACGTGCACTCAATGTCAATTCTTTATTCGCATTTGATAAATTTTTCAGTGATTTCAGGGTGATATTTTCAATTTTTTCAGTCATGGTTAGTTATTAATGTCTTGTTTGATCGATAACCACGAACTCCATGGAATCGGACCGAAACAATATCAACGAAAAAATTCATGGAATTGAGGATTTAAAAATCAAATTGTTGAACTTCCTGTATTTTTTCGTTTTATATATTTTATTACTTAAAGATTTATTGCAGCACACTCTCCAGCGTCGCTTATAAAATTCTCCATTACACATTTCGATTGAAATCCATTGACTATGCTTACGTTATCACTTAAAAAACATTATGAAGGTCGAAGTTCAATATAAATCTAACTAGTGCCCTTCATAATAGTTGGTAAACTCAACACATTATAATTAATTTTCATTAGAAACTAATAGCTCTAGTTAATTTGTTATATCTCTAGAAATTCCAACCAATAAAAAATAAAGGGCTTGTACCACACTAAGGAAATCTCGACTTCTCTTTCTATTATGTTCTGTTCTCCCTCTTCGACTGCAACTCTCACAATTTTCATTACAATAATTGAATTTTGCATGGATTTATTTTTGTGGATGTAAAAATTGAATGAAAAACAAAATTTTTATTCAATTTTTGTTATGAAAAATAAAATCATCATGCAAAGTTCGGGTAAAAAAAATTAATATCGATGAATTTCAATAATGACATCGTAGTGGCTTCAGAAATAAATGAGTCTTGCGTCCTCCGGATTTTGCTCAACAGGGCAATATGGACACTTAAGCCTGGAAACGAATTGATTCCTTTGAAAAAGTGATTTCGATATCATTGTACTTGTGCCTCAACTTATGCGAACGACGTACTTGTTTGAATTTGTTAATTTATTAAGTGCATCCCTGGATATTACGTGACCACAGACCAGCTTCATGGGAGGATTATTTTCAGTGCTCTGTTGGCGTAATATTGGACAGGCAAAGACTGAGTGGTAACGACTCTGTTTACCCAGATCTATTTCAATCTGTCAATGACATAAACAGATAACGTGATTAATTCGCACAATGATAAATTAAACACTCTAAGAGAAATAAATGTTATTCTCACTGGAAGCTCGTCCTTTCCATTCCAAATTCCAGTTACTTGTCTCTGCTGCATGACTTGTTTAATATTGAGTAATGCAGGCAGTGCTGTGCATCCAGCATTCACACTGCAATAAAAAAACAGTTAATTTTGATACTTATCTGTTAATTAGCTATTTATCGCTGAAATGATAAGTGATTTATAGTTTATTCACCACACAGATAATGGGCTATCGACACTGAGCCCCAACAAAGTGCAAGCCTCTTTGGTAAAAACATCGTGAATATCCAGCCAGAGTGTTGGATCTAATAAATGACTGTAGGGTGATGCCTGAATTCCATTTGGCAAATACAAGAGCGTTCCCATGAGTGACTGAACCTCTTTCTCATGTCGATTGACAAATTGTGTTAAGTGTTTTCGTGCATACATAACAGCCTCAGCCTGACTGCTGGGCCCCTGTTCCACTAATCTTATAAATTGTAATCTATGGAGTTTAAATTCTAGGGATGAATTCTGAGCGCGTAGAGCATCTCTGTGATTGTAAGTCCACTCTAACGCTGGCTCTAGATTTCTCTGTTTCAGACAATCGAGGATGTAATTCAGTTCTGTGAATGGCTCTTTCCTTCCTTCTTCAGTCTTTATTCCAGTTTCCTGAGGGAAAATAATCAATTCGATATCATGAAAATCATTCGATTGGAAATAAAAATATGAAATCTTGTTTTTATTTATTATTGATGAGAGTACGAACTGCTGCGAGCTCATCAGCAATATCCAGCATTCCCTGGCGATAAAAATGCTGACAGATCACTTGATTCAACAGATGTGTCTTTTCAGCACTGTTGAAGACATCTTCTCTACTCGTACTGGCAAAGTCAGCTATGAAATTCCTGTCAATGGCTTTACCAACTTTTGACACTGTGTTGTGAGACTCACGATGATTAGTCGCCAAATCCTGGACTGTGTCTCTCACCTTTTTCATAGCCTGTTTGAGTATTTGGACCTGACTGGGTGTTAGTTCCTGCTCTGGAGGGGCTAGACAACCCACGGACAAGAAAACAAGAGATAGTTACTGGGATAATTCTTGGTTTTTATTTTCAAAAAATGGTGATGCTAATGGACGCTGGCCTTGATAGACTCAATGTCAACACGGGAAGGAACTCGTTGTTCGACGAAGTGAATAAATAATTGTTGAAGTATCTCAATGATAACCCCTACCTTCCTCCAGCTCTCGCTTCAAAGTCTCAATCTGATTGATTAAATCACTTAACACCTCGCCAGCCTTCTCGTTGATATCCTCAAATTTACGCAATACTTTGTCGAGCTCACGCTCAACCGTATTACACGCTTCCATGATTATCCGTGAGCGAATTATTTTGACTGTTTTCTTTGGTCACTTTGAGAATGAAACGGGATAATTCTTTGTTTTCGATATGTGTGACTTGCACCACTGCGAAGGAATAAAAACACTGAGTAAAAATACTCGAGGACTCGACGATTTTATTGTGAACACTAATAATCGATAATATAGAGCAGCGCCATCTGAGCATCAGTGTTTTTACTCTACCGATAATTTCTTATCCATAAGATTTCACTTTTCGGAGTTGTTCCGATTTTTGTTGGACTTCAGTGAAATAGAGAAATCGAAAAGAAATATCTTATCGTGAATTTCAAAATAAATGTGAGATAACCCAGACGATTATTTTATTCAACTATAATAGTTTATATATACACATTGGCTTTGAACATTTCTTGGATTTCATAAATAAAATAAAATGAATTAATGAATACTCTGAATATTTTTCACAATTATGTCAGGATTTTTCTCCTGGCTCTCAGGAATGATGATAAATATACTCGCAAGTATTTTTTGTTCAATTAACCATTCCTTTGTCTAATGGCTTTTGCTAATTTTCCAGTATCTGCCGACCGCCCTGGAATAATTAATTCATGGAGTCATTGCAGGAGAAAATAATTGGAGTGATATTTTAGAGCACGCATTCTTACCCATTCACGTGCCATTATCAAGAGTGTGTGGGCATTTAATTTTGGACCCACTAAGGGATTCATTTGTGCCATATAGCAGCATAACCAGCTGGAATTAACAATAATAAAGCCAGTTAAATAAATTATTCATTTAGATTGCAATTCGAAAAATTGTTTACGTACAATAACCAACACGTGAAGGCTGTTAACATCAAAATAACTTGAAGAATTCTGAAACAAATTGCAAAGATAGTAAATATTTATTGATATTTGGGAGAATAGTGGAGTAAAATGAGCTGTCTCTAATTGTAAATAGCTTCAGAGTTGAGTTGAATCATCTGATTTTTTCACCGTTCCGGAGGTTTTTTTCGAGATTGAAAAAAAGCGTAATTGATATGAATTATTTGATTTGATTGGAAGATATTGAGGATTGACAGACATATTTTATCAAAAGTGACTTACCCACGATTTGGTCCCTTGGGAACGAAAAACGGGAGCACAATGCCTACCGCACCCCAGACAAGAGTGAAAAACAACACAGGAAATGCAGCTGCTCCCATTGTCACTCTTTAATATCACTTTTTCGAAAAATAGGGTTGAAATACAGTATATTCCGGAGACAAACGTTTGTCAATACTTTCGGGCGTTCTTGATTGCTTTCTGGTCTTGGAATAGGGAGGCTAGTCACATGAGACGGAGATAACCGAGTAATTTTACCCAAAAATAGATTGTCCCGCCCTCTCACATATAAAGTCGGTACAAACATTTGAATCCCAGTCCCTTCTGTGTTAGTCAAAGAGGATTGACCAAAGTAGAGGCTCAGTTCTGGGGGTTTGAGTGACCCCAGCGGCATCGTAGTAGCCGACCCCATAAGAGGGAGGGCGTCACACGCAACGCTGGGGTATCTGTCATTAGCAGACTCAGCGACTTTTCAGTAATATCCCTCCAGCTTCCCTTTTAACAACTCTGAGCTCTTCGATGCCTCAGATTCCACTGACTGGAATTTTTGAGGAGCTGATTTCAAAGCCTCCGACTGCTAATTATTTGTGTTTCAACGAATTAACAGTTATTAAAAATATCTTGACAAATTTGTCAGTGATGTTTACTTGATTTACTTCAATAATAATTTAATATCGTACTTACCGTTTTGGGCGGAGATGGATTATCTGGAAAATATAATTTACTCCGAAATTTGGACTGCTAGTTACTCCGGAAATTAATAGTTTTTTCCAATAATTGTTAGCCAGCACCGTAGCGGTTGTCAACAACTAGAGCGCTAGCTAACAATTATCGGAAAAATCGATTAATTGGTGGAGTAATTAGGAGTGCCAATTTTGGAGTAAATCATCTTTTCCAGACAATCCAACCGGGCTTTAATTCCAATTTCAAAATGCGGCACTCCAGCGTAGTCAATCACTTGTTTATAGACACACTCGCGATTTATCTGATGGAGCCATATCTAGTGGCATCTCGACATCATCTGATCGAGAGATAAAATCATCTCGAAAATTCAAACGCCCGAACCAACCACGAAAAAATCCACGGAACGGATACGATATATTAATAAATAAATTTCGCTCACCGGCGTTGGATGAAAATAAGTCCGCTTTCAATTTTCACCTTTCGAACGTCTTACCTTAACTGTAAACATAAAAAAAAAACAAATTGTTAATGAAATTTCGACTAAAGAATTTTTTTACTACAAAGGCGATTTTTAATTTTGATTTGCGAGTTTTTATATTAAATTATTATTTAAAATGATTTATTATTTTTTATTTAAAATTCTTTTATTTTATTGGAGAGTTAATTGAATAATTGAAAATTGTTTGTAATGTAAGCATTGAATATATCAAGAATCAGGAATGAAAAAAATGACATGAAAATAAAATGAAAATGATGCTTCAAGGTCATAAAAAAAATGCATACGAAACTCACCTTGCAGTCGGTTGCAAGATGCCCTCCGATCCTGAAGATCTCTCCATGTGATTCTGACGCCAAAGGTTGAAGTCGGCTTGGAAGCACCAGCATTTTCAAAGACAGCAGACAGTTCAAAAGTTCACTAATCACTCACCACACAACCAAGAATGTTTTATCAACTCAAAATCCACAAAAATCAATAAAATAATATCAAAGATCAAATAATATTTTTACTCATTGAAAATAAGATGAATGAGAAAAGTAATCCTTCGAATCTAATTCGCACTCTCACTTCAGTCCGTATCTAAACACACACTCAACAATTCCGAGAAACGGACAAAGGAATTTTTGTAAACACAATGACGCCGGGCGGCCGTTCGGCAATACCGAAGTTCAGTGTACCAAAGGAAAAATCTCAATCACTCAAAATGCTCTGATAAACTGTTTAAAAAATTATTTCACATCCCAAAATCATTTGCACTGAGTCCCGCACTTGGTATTTTCAATGTTCATAGGCGGCACCGGTTTTCTTCACTCACTAGGAACACGATGTTAATGGATTTTCACTACGTGACACGTGACCGACCGTTCCACGCACTGCTGCCGAACGACTGACTCCCCACTCAAGATGGCGGGGCGTTGGAGGCGGCGCTCGAGTGGGGGTCGCCAGGCGATACTCCGCGCATGCGCATAAAACAACCTGCATGCGCACAGAAGACCGCGCCTACGCACAGCAGACCGCGGGCAGTCTCAATTTGACGAGATAAGATAATTGCGAAAATTCTGAATCTAATAAATAATTCTCTCCTAAAAAAACAGTGCAATCACGTAAAATCCAATAGTCAGTGAAAAATAATTGATTGAAGAGAATTTAGTGTGTGGATTTTGGTCTTGACCATCAAAAACACTTCGATTGGATCTGTGAAACGGAAATGGGAGTATCAGATACATTGAATTACGTTCTGTTTTCTAATGCCGTCTGCTCGAATGCCGGTTCGTTTGCGAAAACTGCTGCATCAGCTGTAAGTCGCTGTTATTTTTTAATAAAAAATAAGAGGAATCAATTTATTTATTGTTATTGCCTGATTTTTGGAGACTGGGTAATGCTTCTATAGTTTATTCTATTTTTGAAACTTTGAGGTCATGTAGATTCACTGAAATTTGAGAATTCGAAATTTTCAAAAAAGTATCTGGGGAGCATGAAAATGGAAGAGGTATTCACTGAAATGTGAAAATTCTAAATTTTTGAAGAAGTATCAGGAGAGCATGACAACTGAGGAGGGATTCACTGAAATTTGAAAAATTCAAAATTTTCGAAAAAATATCAGGGGATCGTGAAAATGGAGGAGTGAAATGTGAAAATTCGAAATTTTTGAAAAAGTATCAAGGGAACATGAAAATTGAGGAGGTATTCACTGAAATTTGAAAATTCAAAATTTTTAAAAAAGTATCAGGGGAGCATGGAAATTAAGGAGGCATTCACTGAAATTGAAAAATTTTAAATTTTCAAAAAAGTATCAGGGGAGCATAAAAATCGAGGAAGTATTCACTGAGATTGAACAATTTTAAATTTTCAGAAAATAAAATTCACCCAATCGATTGGTCCCTCTGACAGCGGAACTGCAACTGAGGCAGTTACCGAGTCGGCTGACGGGCAGACACCCCACCATTGGGTGCGGCCCCCTCTTTTGGGGTGAAGTACTGCCGGTGGGGTCACTCAAACCCCCCACTTACCCCCTCAATTCTGGGAGGGGGTCGCACCCTTTGGTGGGGTGTCTGCCCGTCAGCCGACTCGGTAACTGCCTCAGTCGCAGTCCCGCTCTCAGAGGGACCAATCGACTGGGAGAATTTTATTTTCTGAAAATTTAAAATTTTTCAATTGCAGTGAATATCTCCTCGATTTTCGTGCTCCCCTGATACTTTTTTGAAAATTTTAAATTTTTCAATTTCAGTGAATGCCTCCTCAATTTCCATGCTCCCTTGATACTTTTTTGAAAATTTTGATTGTTCAAATTTCAGTGAATACCTCCTCAATTTTCATGTTCCCTTGATACTTTTTCAAAAATTTCGAATTTTCACATTTCAGTGAATACTTCCTCAATTGTCATGCTCTCCTGATACTTTTTCAAAAATTTCGAATTTTTCAATTTCAGTGAATACCTCCTCGATTTTCATGCTTCCCTGATACTTTTTGAAAAATTTCGAATTTTCAAATTTCAGTGAATACCTCTTCCATTTTCATGCTCCCCAGATACTTTTTTGAAAATTTCGAATTCTCAAATTTCAATGAATACCTCCTTCATTTTCATGCTGTCCTGATACTTTTTCAATTTCGTAACGCATAAAATAACATTCACCCCAACGACTGATTCCTCTGACAGCGGGACTGCTACTGAGGCGGTTATCGAGTTGGCTGACGGACAAACACTCCAGCACTGTGTGTCGCCCTCTCTCCCTCAGGGTAAGGTACTACGATTCCGGTGGGATCACTCCAACCCCCAGAACTGAGCCTCTACTGTAGTCAATTTTCAGTTGCTGTAAGCGCTGCTGATTTTCTCTATAGTCTCTGCCAAAAGCAACAAAAACGAATAAAACGAAGTGCAGTCTATTTAGTTAGCTTCTCATTATCTAAAACATTCTCTGAATTCAATCAGAAAAATGTCAAATCCAGCCCACACAGATATGGTTGAAGAGGACGCAGCAGATCTGCAGTTTCCAAAAGGTACATAAATAAATTATTCCCATCAATCCACGATAATAGCCTCCAACCACTCATTGTTTACCCCCCAACCCGTATCCTCTCTCTGAAATCATCGCGACGAATCGGCGTCTAAAGTGATGATTATCTGTTTTCAGACTGCCGAAAAGCTCCCACCGAACGAGATATACAGTCATTTACTAAATACGAAATCTTCACTTCAGACCCGACTTGTTTCACCTGCGATTCTATTCTGTCCGAGCCCTACATAAAATGCGCGATCTGTCAAAATGCCAACCTGTGCCCAAAATGTTTCTCTCAAGGATTAGAATGTCTCCCCCACAGGAACGATCACGACTACATAGTAATTCACAACGAATTTCCCTTAATCGATTCGTCCACGTGGACAGCAAAAGAGGAATCAGATTTCCTCACAGTCCTGCAGGACTGCGGTTTTGGTAATTGGGTGGACGTGTCCAAGAGAATGCCGGGGAGATCCCCCGATGACTGCAAATCCCATTATTTAAATAATTATGTTGACAACCAAAGCCTCCCAGGTTTGCCCCTCATGAGGGAATCACCATCGACACTATTTTCCCTGGAATCCATTCCCTTCTGCTTCAAGCTTCAGGACTTGGAGGAACCTCCAAGGTTCGCCACAGGCAGCTCCAACAGTCGTCTCCTGGCAGGTTACAATGCAGCAAGATCAGATTTCGACGTGAATTTTGATAATCACGCTGAGCTACTGATTTCTGAGCTGCAGTATAACGAGTTCAGTCCAGAGGACGAGGATTACAGATTGGGAACTAGTCTTCAAGCCGCAATTGTCGAGTCTTACAACAACAGATTGAAGGAAAGATCCAGGAGAAGAGCAATTGTCCGGGAACATGGTCTCATCGCCTTCCGGAGAACAATGTCCTGGCTCCAAAGGTACGAGACCACCATCACTAGGACAACTGCTGAGAGACTTCTAATTTTTATGCAGTTAGCTGGGGGAATGGAATTTGACTACATCCTGGAGGGACTACATCGGGCTGGAGAGCTCAAGAATTCTCTGAGGAGACTTCAGGATTACAGGAGGAATGGTATCAAAAGGCTTCACAGTGTTCCTATGTTCAGGAAGCTATTGGCATTGAAGAATGAGAGCGACAGGGAGAGGAAAATATATATGGGAAGTGTTGAATGCAATTGGCGGAGTGGAGCTCCTGAGAAGCTGCAGGAGGTAGCTGTTGTCTCTGGGGGCTCATCCAGGAGACAACCACCTCCTCTAGATATCAGGGGACTCCCTGCAGAGGAGAAACTGAGGCCTGAAGAGAGGGAACTCTGTATTCATGCTAGAATCCCTCCGGAGCAGTATCTCGATCATAAAAAATTGTTGATCAATGAAAATAAGAAAATGGGGAGTTTGAAACTGGCGCAGGCCAGGACTTTGTTGAAGATTGATGTTAATAGGACTAAGAAACTTTATGTTTTTTTGGTGGAGCATGGATGGATTCAGGCCAAGACTTCCTGAGGGTGAGGAAATTCTGAAGAATTTAAGACATTTTTTGAGAATTTTTTGGCTTTCTTTGGTTGGAGGTCGTGGATTGCGGAAATTTTATGGATTGAATTGTTTTGGGGCGATGGATGATCATTTTTTTTGCACAGAGTTTGAAAATGCTGAGACTCTACTCATCTCGGAAGTTCACATGCTCCTGGAGCACAGGAAGGCGCAGAACGAGTCAGCTGAGGAGGAACAGGAGTTCTCTGAGGTTTTCATGAAGAGTCTCAATTATACTGATCGCTTCAGAAAGTTTAAAAATAAGGAAGTCATCGCGGCCGTCAGAAAGTAAGATTTTAATTTACAAGTGTTCGTGGTTAATTAAGAGATCTTTTTTGTTATTAAATCTTTTTCAATACACCGATATTTATTAATTTTGGTCGTTTATTTTACGTTATTGTCGAGAGGATTTTTCTTGCCGTGTAAAATTTTTTTTAATGCAATTGATAATGATATTTATAGATTTGTTCCCGTATTGTTTTTTAGTTTGCTAATGCAAAAGAAACTTCACAAATTCGAGCTGGCTTCCCTGGCAAACCTCTGTCCAGAAACTCCAGAGGAAGCAAAGGCCCTAATTCCTAGTCTGGAGGGACGCCTGGAGGACGAGGAATTGCGAACAATTCTCGATGATATTCAGACTAAGAGATCACTCCAGTACTGATGTGTAAATGTTTATCAGATTAATATCATTCCATTATGTTCACAATTTTTTTATGCCCATAAACTTAACTACCCGTCATTCAAGAATAAAAAATATTGTTATACGTTTCTCTCTCCTAAATGTCAAATATTTTTATCATGAAATGGCAATTATTCTAATGACTCACGAAATCAGCAATTAATTGCGCATGAATAATTTATCCAACGAATTTTTTTTTAAAAACATTCCCGCAAAAAAAAACCCAATCAAATTAAATAGAAAAACAGCGAATGTTTTTCTCAACATTTTAGGTAATAATTTTCTTCATTCATGAATATTGTGAGTGCTCCTTACGCAAGACATCAGTAATTATTGAAAGAGGGAAGATATCCCCGAGGAAGAGTAAAAAAAGAAGGGAACGAATTACTGATTCCCCAGGCAATTATAAACGCCAGAATAATTTACGTACGGAAGGGCAAAATGAAACTAAAAAATATCTGGTCGTTGCACGGCGACAACCGTGTATTATGTCGCGGGATAATTGCAAGATGAAGACGGTCTTAGTCTTGCACGCGATGGACAGCAAAGGCCGTCATTATCTACCCATTTTCCTCGTCCGCCACTGTCCAATTCCAATTAAACTAACTCACTTCCATTATTTCTTAACTAAACGCGTTCAATTTGTCATAGATTGTTTGTTAGTTGGCTGAATTTCGTCAATTTAACTTCGAGTGGTAGCCATTTTGTTATCCTTTATATATACGGATTCTGTATTTTGGAATTTCCCGAAATTTCCCATAAATTCGCTGGCCATTGAACGATTTATTTACTCGGAGAATATTTATCTCTATATCTACACCGAATCAAAACAACACGAATAATCCCCACTTACAGTGATTGGTACATTTATAAAGAACGGAATCAAAACAAAGGAGAGGGAAGGTGTATCTCATGTGCGCCATTTGATTTCATCGTGTTGATAATGAGAACCAATTGATCCATAAGTGGGTTTCATTCGGAATCGCCAATGAGATTGAGCCATTTCAATATTTTGAAAATGTTGTTTACTTTGTACGCCGCTCAGTTTCCTCGTGGATATTACTGCTTATCGCCTTTCCACTTTTCTACCGCTGGCTTTCTGCAACACCGTCGTTAGCTGGAGCTCTGCACTGCACGAAGATCGGGAACGCAATGAGTAGGGACCGGGAAATGCTGTTCTTAAGCCCTCAGGCGTTTGGACCGCCGAACCAATCAGAGCCGCCAGCGCTATGCGATCTCAGTGTTCACCAGTAGACGGGTGAAGTTGAAATGAAGTTAAGGAACAATGCGCAGGTCCAACAAACCAATAGCAGCGCTGGCGGCTGTGATTGGTTCGGCGGTCCAAACGGCTGAGGGCTTAAGAGAACATCATTGCCCGGTCACTACTCATTCCGTTCCGGGTCTTCGTGCAGTGCGCACCTCTAGCTGGTAATCATACAGCTATTGAGCAATCATATAAATACAGGAGATTTGGGAGACTTCTTCAGTTGCCGTTTAAATCTAGAGGCGGATGGATCGCAGACGAGAAGAGAAGGATCATCTTTAATCAAAAAAGTGGATGCAGACTACTTCGAGGATAATGATTGGATGAAAATTTTGCACCCTCCAACCTCACTTCCACTACTCCTTCCATCCTGAATTCTCCGACAGTTTTTTTGGATTGTAATCGCAATCGGTTGCAGTAAGTGGCGAATCCTGACCCCGAAAGAAATCAAAATTTCTGGTGGGCATCTTTCATGTGAAGGGCAAGTGTGGTTTTATTTTGAGTTCGGTGAATTTGCATGGTGAAATTAATATTTACAAAGTAAATTATTTTTCTAAAATAAAGTGCAGAATGCATTCTGAAATAATGCTAAATTTGTTGTGGAATAAACGTGATTATAGTGTAGTGAAAACAGTGAACAATTATTGGACGAGTTTCTACTGTATCGATGGCAGTACCTGCAGCATCATGTCCAGAGTAATTGGTGAGTGACATTATCGACAAAAAAATTTTAACCGGCGCTGCGATCGACATTCACCTGTTTGATAAGGATTCAATATTTTTCAAGTACTAACATTTCACGGATTCATTGTTAGATGTTTTACGATTCAGAACTCGGGATATTAGCCATGAAAACCCGGGAATTATTAATAAGAAATAAAAAATAATTCACTTTGATTTCGTTGGAAGCAATCAATTAATCATTGATCGTTCGGTACACAAATGAAATTAGCTTTCGAACCTGACACCTGACTCCGCGTAATATTTTACAATTTTCAATTGCGTCGTCGATGATTTTTGCTCCCTTTCGTAACGAGCCTAAAAAGGTAGAGATATTGTATTACATCTTGAGTTGATGAGAGGAAAAGATTCTCTCCCTAACCCAGGGTAACGAGAATCCTCGTTTGGTTCGGTGTCTTGTGATATTACACCACCTGACTCACGTTCTCCACTTTTTTATTTTACCCCGCCTCCATTTTTATCCGGTACTCTTCAAAAAGAGGAAGAAAAACATCTAGTGGATGTCTTCAGGGGAATATCAAGTTACAAGGTCGAGTGTCGGGCCTCCGGCACTCTTGACCCCGATATCTCATCATAAATACTATAATAATTAGATGATTAGGTTTAAATTATTGATAACACTTTTTTCATTAAGAAAACGGAAATTTAAGTTTTCGTCACGAAGTTTTTCACTCCCATTTCGATGGATTTCCTTTGTCGTCCGTGACTACTGCGGTTAATGATAATTCACTAGTGATTAATTATTCATTGGAAATTGATTAATTAGGCATTGATGGCGAAGGAGGTAATGGATACTTTATAATGATTCATCGGATAATTACCGTAGGAAAATGTGTATTGATTAGCCTCCAGCATTTTTAAGGGGAGAAAAAAATTGAAAAATTTAAATTTCTCAGAAATATCTGTGGGTATAAAAAATAACTATGAAATCTCGAATTTTCAATTGGGGCAATTCAAATGAAAAAAAAGTTAGTACCGCAATAGGATTTCCGCAAGAGAGAGATACAAAACAAAAGTACAGGATCATGAATATTTCTCAAGGTTCCAAAAGACCTTTGAATATTCATAATCGATTCTGTAGTTAATCCCATTCACCCAAGTGTGGGCGCAGAATAAAAACTGTTATCTGTAATTGTGAATCGTCTCGTAAAATTCCAACTTTTGCACTTCATATTCCACTCAGATGAGGCAATGTAGGGGGTAGAGTTGAGTATTGGGTGGATTAACGACAAGAATAAAAATGGAAAATATTTACTTCCATCTCTGTTGCCCAAACGCAACAAGTTTACGAGTTTCCCGACGAGTTTTGTGGGAAATCGATAGAATTAATTTGCATAATGTACCCATGGGGCGGTCGACTTGGCTTTGACAGTTCTCAGGTCGTGGGTTTTCTTTAGAATAAAATCGCACCGAGGGAGGATTACGTGGTTTAATGCACTTTCGTATTTATTTTCTGTAAGCAATGTATCAATTTCTCTCTGTACCGCTGGGGGTGAATTCCAAACAAGAATAAGGTTCTCTCATGCCCATCATCTGATTGCCAAGGGAAAAGAGTAGCTATGACTGACATCGAAATCCTTTAAAATCAATTTGATCACGTAATTGCGATCAACCAAGTGGACCAAAAAAAACTCATTATAGTGAAATGGTCAAATTACATAATTCCAATTTTACAGTTTCATTAAATGTCCATCAATCTTAAAGGATTGATATACCAATTTTCATAATTAAATCTAAGATATAATTTCCCGGTAGATTGATATTACAATTTCAAATATTCACGAGATCATTTCATCAGCTCGGAATCAACTCACGTGGGACTAGAAGCCATTGACCCTAATTTCTATTTTTTTAATTATTCAGATTGCTCAATAATTACATGAACCCCTTTCATAATAGAGTCATGGGTTCATTTAATCCCCCGAATGCTCGTTAATTCCGGAATCATTGGTGAGGAGCCCTCACGCGACAATTGTACAATCGACAATCGAATATTTGAGAATCGAAAATTGTCACGCGCGTGAATACCCGGAAAGTGTCGGTGAAGAAATTATTCGGTGATTATCCACGTGGATATATGGGAAAAGAGTTTGTTGAAGTTTGTTTGATACGTGCAACTGGCGGCGATAATGAGGGAACGAGAAATGCAAAGAGTTAATCACATTTTGTTTTCATCTAGAGAGTCATTTAAGAATATCCAAGCGGATAAATTATCCCGTGGCCTCATTATTATTTAAAACGGATTTATTCATATTTCAAGTTCTCAATTCGGTACTCAATATTGCAAACAAAAAAAATAATTAAATATTCAAATTGCTTAATAATTAATAATTCATCAAATCAATAAAATCAACTTGTTGATTATATATTGATGTAAGAAAAAAACATTGAAGCACAAAAATTTATAACATTTACATTTCTACCTTCAACTATAACTGAAGAGAGAAATTTCAACAAAAAATAATACGAAATCACTTGGATATCCTCGAAGAGCTGTTTTACAGAAAAAAGCTTTGAGTCTGCTCACATGCTCTCCCTCATTACTCATGTTCGGGAATGGTGTACGTGCAATGTATTTCCCCATGAGTACACATCTCCCATAAATAGCCCTCCGCCATCTCCAAAAACCGTAAAAAAACGAAATCGATATCACATTTCTTGAAATGCGGCCAATAGAAATATATCAGCCCTATTCTATTTCCACTTTTTTAAAGCAATTAATGTTTTTATTCAATATAATATAATATCAATACATCAGTATTAGTATATTAATATCAATATCCTCATTTGTAATATAAAATAGATTTGATTGTGAAATATTTCATATTTCACAATTCATATTTTATGGGGCAGCGGGAAAGGAAGAGATACGTAAAAACCCGAGAGGGTACACATCTGGACTGAATAAATATATTTTAAAAAATTGAAATGAGGATATTAATATTCTTAAGTGAAGTATATTTGTTTTCTGGTGTAGTCTCTTTGCGGCACGAGCGCGGCACGTGCGTCAAAGTAGCTCCAAATGTGCGGGAGTATTTTACAGTGGCTCCGAAGTTACACGTTATGGAGTCATGGGTGTAGGTGGGTTGCAAAAACACAGGGGAGGGGGTGAGTCCATACTACACTGTCAATTCCTCCCTCGTCCTCCCTCGCCCTCCATGACCCTCCTCCTCGGCATCCTCACCGAGTCCTCACGAGGATCGCCGAGTAGAATATTCTCCGTTGTCGCGGTAGAACTGGGGGGTGGTGGGAGGCATACTAAATACTCTGCCCGAACCTCCGACACTCCACTCCATCGAAACATTCTCGTTTTTGGCCAGGTCTATCTCCCTACTACTGGATGGTTAAATTAGCCACTCAAATTTATAATAATTTTTTGGACATTTTTACTATTTTTTTTTAATCGAGAAATTCTGGGTTATTTAAATTGAATTTGAATTTATTTCAATGATATAATAATTTAAATTATGTTGGTGAAATTTTTTGAAAAATTTCAGGGAAGTTTGTGGGACTTTAACTTTTTAATGAAAAAATCAGTGAAAACTGAACAGGAATTCCTTTAATTACCCCGCGACATAATTGTGGTTTTTTTTATTTTTTTGTTTTTAAGCGTTCAGGGGATGAAGCGATTTGAGAAAATTTCAAGAGATGCTCTTAACGCTGTTTGCACGGCTCGATAGATCTAATCTATTGTACATGGCATTCGTAATCTCGTAACGTTGATTTTTGTATTCTTCAACTCCATTATGAAAGTTTATAACACTATTATCTACTTTTTCGGTAAATACCCGTTTCTAAACTGTACATCAAATGTAAATAATAGATCTTCCTATTCCGAGAATGCCGAGAAAATATTTATGCTCTTTATCGGGCCGAAGGTATTTTAGAAAGTGAACAATTTTAATAAATGGTGCGTTCTACCATGAGCTCGTAACGATTGTATTATTCCGTCGGTTCACGAAAGACAAATAAAAATGATAGCTATAACAATAACAATAACAAATACACCCGTAATTTATTTATAACGCTGCAACCGAATAACACACACATTGCAATTATTTACGAAATTTCAAATTTCCTTAAGATCCGAAATCCGAAAAATGATTGATTACCAAAATTCCGTTTTTTAAAAATCAAGTTGAATTTTGGTAAATGATCCAGACCGAAAACGGCTTTTCCTGCCCCCGAAGAAGGGATTCAATTCATTCTCCCGGGTGAAGAAAAGGCTCTCCCCGATGAGAGAGAAAAAATTCTGGTCGCGCCGGTGTCCCTCTCCGTCGCTCCCCTCATTGGTGCCCCTCACTAACACCAAGATAGCGTGCGCGCACCGCGCACTCGGCACTCCGCACTCTCCTCCTCCACCACCTCCTCGTGGTGCTCCTCTTGCTCCACCACCTCCACCGAGCGTGTGGGATCACCTAGTGTGTGTGCGCTTGTCTCCTCACCAGTGTCAGCATTGTGCGGCTGTTGCTGTGTCTCCCTCTATCCCTCGGATCTCGTTTATTTGGTCGTTGCGCGGGGTATACTCTGTATCCCTCGTCCTCCCGTCTCGTGGGGTCAGTGCCTGCTCGGCTCTTGAGCGGGAACCCCGGTTAATCGTATCGCTACGGTTCTATCCTCGCGATCATCGAATTACCGTGAAATAACCGTAATAAATGAAAACAATAAAAACCCAATAACAACCCTAACAACCAAAAAAAGGGAAACATTCAAAAACTGAAATAAATATCAAAGCTCCAAGAGTGAATGTTGAATGAAAATTCGTGTGATATATAGTAGGTGAATATCGGGTGAAAAATTAGTTCGTCAATCGGCGGGTCTTTGTTTACGCATTTTGATTTCGGGTAAAATAGAATAGGATATTGGGTGGGAGTGGGGAAAATCCAAACGAAACAGACACTACTGTTGCGCGTGATTTGGTTGAGTGAGAGAGCAGAAAATACAAGAGCTGACGTTTTATCGGCTGGTTGTGGCTGTTTGTTGTTGACGAGTCAGAGTTTGACCGGAGTTTATACTCAGTTTGACGGACGCCATCGTGCGATAAAGACGGTGATTCCCGTGACCGGGTGTTCAGTGATTTTTTGAGGTGAACATTAGAAATTTTGTCAAACGAGTGAAATTAAGACTTGAGGGAGTGTCAGTGAAAGAGTAGAAGCGAAATTAACGTTGCGAGTGTTTTTTTTGAGGGGGCACTTGAGAGTGAATACAGTGTAATACGTGAGGGTGATCGGCAATTTAATTGATTAGACGTGTGAGAATCGAGTTGATCGGTGTCTCATTTTTCCTGGGAATTCAACACTTTGAACGTCCCATTATTTTCTCTGGTTTCCTCAACCCCGAGGGGTAAAACCCACCCCCTTCTTCCCAATCGCCATTCGCTCCATTTCCCTCAGTCCCTGCGCACTCCCTCGTTGTCTAATTGGGAACTAGTTTCTAAAAGTTTATGGCATCGGAGAATTAGGAAAACAGAATAGTGAGTGTCTGGGTTGTGACTCATTGATTGTGGTTCCTGGTGCTAAGGATGATCTGAGAGTAACGAGGACTTCTGGGGACTTCGGATGGGGTGAGCACCTGTTTTTTATATAGAGATAGGAAAGGATAACAAGTCGATCTAGTTGATGGGTGAAACTTGGGTATTATCTCTCGATCTCAGATAACGAAATTTTTGTCGAGATCATTTTTGCAATTGTGATTGCACTCTGTAAAAGAGATATTACAAAAAATGTCGATATCTTTATCGGATTTATAGATATTCACCGGAAACTCCATTAGGAGACATGACGATTTGTTACTCTTCATTTCTTCAGTACTCCAATATCGCGTATAATATTTGAAAATTTATTTAAAGGGATATAATTCGGGATATTAATGCGTGAGGAAGATATTCAGATGGTTGTAGGTCGATCCCTTTGAATTATTCGTTTCCGAATCGAGGGAATTTACAATAAAATGAACCAGTGGGTTTTGTAATAACCCTTTGCGCAGGGGCCCCGGGATGATTTCTCGAACAGGTGGAGGCCCTTATGATTTTTTATTTTTACCTCTCGAATTTTTTTCCCCGAGGTCCGGGGGAATTCGCTGATCGAGATTATTATCCTGTCGTGCGTGTCAATACGCTCTTTTCTTTCAATGTTTGAGTCGTGGATTGCGTGGCATGTGTCGGGAGGGAGGCATGCGAATTGTTGAATAAATTTGCTTCATTTTTTACGGGAGACGATTTTAATTTACCGGCTTTAACGCCAATTTCATTACACTGGTCACGCAGAAAATTATTCGGTGAATTGAAGCGAGTTATTGTAGCTCATCGATTATTCGTTGAGAAAAATTTAATTATTATTATCATTTAACGAATGATTCATTTAATAATTTTGGATGAATATCTCGGAATTTAGTGATGACATCGACTTTTTGGTCAATCTTTTTTGTGAAAATAATTGATGCTACGAAAAAAATTATTACAAAAGTTCACCAACTCCTCTAAATTCGGAGACTTTTTTTGAACACTTGGCTGAGTTAAATTGTTTACGCAATGATTTGCAAGGAGTGTTAATTCGAAAATTGTTTGACAGTTATAGATAAAAATTCGAATTAGTTGAATAATTTCCTTCGTGATCGCAAAAATAAAAATGACTGAATAATTATTAAATTACTTCAGTCAATTCCGCCAAAAATGCCAGCTCCAAAATGGAACAAATAAATAATAATTTCGCGAACGTGGCGCTTCACGGGATTAAGAATAAATTTTCTCTCCATTATTTAATGATCGCGGTCTCTCGATAAATCAGCTTATGATCTAGCGTAAAAATATCAGTAACCGATACTGATAATGGCATTGAAAATGCAGTAATGTTAGTCATCGAGTTGGGTATCGATAGTAATATTATAAAAATAGTAGTCATGATTATCGGTAATAGTCATAATAAAAGGAAAATTGTCGCAGAGGTCGTTAAGTGTCTCGATGAGTGCCGCCTAGAGCATATTCTCTCCATCATTACCGATTTTTCAAATTATATCCAATGGGTGTGTTTGAACTTTTCCTGATAACCCCCAGAACAGATAACACTATATCATTCTCTCCTCGTTTTTTTTTCTCTTGTCTCTGTTACGCACTTGGATCACAACTGATTATCGTCTCGACGAAATTTTCCAATGAACGATTTGGAGCGTCTCCAACTGTGCGTCATCGGTCTCACGATATCGTAACCCATGGGGGGAGCATAAAAAAAATATTGGACTATCTGTTTCTTATTGATTCATGTTCTCATCTGTTTGTTTTCTTTTTGCTTTGTTGTGGTTTGAAGTTCGGCTCTAGTCCATATGGGAATTCTTTCCAGTGATTTTTCTTGATGCACTTGCTGACGCATCATTTTTTCTATTTTTTCTATTTTTTCTCTGATAATAAAAATCAATTGATGGGTTTTTAATTGCTTCGAGGATAAAAATATGAAGTTAATAAATTGTTTTTAATCATCCGATTAAATTCATTTAAAACCGGCAAACATTGGGGAAATTGAATATGGCATTCCTGTGCTCGATCTCTCAAATGATTCCAAATAGTTCTTCCTGCACGTGTCATTATTGCGATATTTGAGTTGTACTCTGTCGAGAGTTTCTGGGTAATCCTGTCGAACATCATTGGATGTTAGCAAACCTCGTGTCAGTCTTTCATCCATTAGATTAAATGCATGAATTTACGGTCTCTCTGTGATACGGTTGTTATCATCGACTGCCTAGTATATTTCCTAAAATCAAAATTTCTTGTTTCTGACAACTTCACCGGAAATAATTACGATCAATTGCAATAAATTTCTATTCAATTATCGATTTAATAGTCTCAAATTATGAATTACCACAAAAATTATAAGTGACAAATTATGCAGTAAATTCAATTTTTTCTTTGAAATTTTTGTGAATATCGGGATTAATTTTGGTTAGAAAAAAAAATAGAATGTCTCACAACCTTATGACCCCGAAGGTCAATCCATAAAAAAAAAATCCGCAAGTGTTATTCCCACGTTATCTAAGCGAGCCCGACTAGACACCAACAAACTCTTCTATGCAGTGGATCAGAGAGGAAATGTCGGTGATAGTCGACCGTGATATACAAACGTACCATCGCGTTTGTATTCCGCGCTTTACGTCTGTCGCGACGTCACGCGATTGGATCGGTCTGCACGTTCCAAGGGGCTCGCGCTCGCTACCAACAATCGATTGCATAAGAACCGACAACTATCAGACGTAAGAGAGCAATTGTTCCACCCCTGTTAAATACGAAGTAAAAGTATTTGGGACCAAGAAATTATACGTTTTCGGCACTCGTCCGGAAAGTGACACTTTATGACCTCTACGCACCCCTAAAATCCTATTCACGGACTGACTAAAAAAAATCTCCGCCACTCGGTGGAAAAATTTCGCTTGAAAGCAATTCGTTTAAAAATTGCAATTGATTCTCTTTTATTGAAATTTCAAGATGAATTTTTTAATTGCAAAAATTCTCAATCAACTCATAATTATTTCAATTAATTATCCGGTAATTAATCTCGTCCGCTGAATTGCCGGTTCATTCCTTTAAGTCTGTTAATTTCAACAAGTGAGTGATCATTATCACTATTTTTGGCTCTCTCTCTTCATGAGTCATTTAACCCGGTGGATAGGTGGACTAGTTCGGGGGGTTGTATGAAGGCATTAGGGCTTTCTCGTAAGTAAAAAATGTGGAGGAACTTAAATCGCCACATGCCCCACCTCTCAGCCAACTTCCGCTTCGTTCAAGGGTCGCTACAAGAGGAATCGATCGTCTTGTGGGTGGCAGGAGGTGAATGAGGGGGAGGAGGGGATGTTTTATAACCCCCTCGTGTGCCTAGGTGGTTTACACAGTGGCTGAATGAAAAAAAAAGAACTTGTCCCATCAATTTTCACGTGATGCAGTGAGGGACATAAATTACTGGCTTTCCGTGTTTTTTTTTTTCTCCTGCGGGTTGGGGGGCTTTCTTTTTGTTAATAGGGAAACCAACCACGGAGGGAGGAATTTCGGAGATGCTTTTTTTTCGTTTGTCGAATGTACTGGTCAGATGAAGGCACTTGGGGAAATTAATTTGGGAAAATGTTGGCTGGTGAATGATTCAATGTCTCGGGGATTTCGAAAGGCCGAAATATTTTGGGTGAATATTTTCTCGAGTTCTGGTCATTTTCAGAGAGAAATAAATTTTTTTCAACTAATTTGCTCATCACTCAATGAATTTTAAATTTATATGAATTAAAAATTCCAATCGTACGAAATTCCATTTGAACTTCAATTTCAATTAATATCTGCAAGATGATAAAGTTGAAAGATTTGTTTCTCGGGAAAAAAATTATCTATCAGGATTTCCCAGGATTTAACCGATAGACAAGAGAATATTTTTTGCATCAGATAAATCTTCTTTATCAAAAGCGAATTTTTTTTCTCTCTCTTTGGTCTTTCCTATGATCATTCGTCTCCGTTAGTGGGATTTAACCGGTGGGTTGGATCGGTTTGAACTGAAAATGGTAACGAGAGCAATATCGTGTTTGTGTTTAGTCGGTTTGTACAAAACCAGTGCGGCTCAAGCCGTAGGATGACGTAGTTGGTGCGCGTAAGCCCGTGTATTCTATGATTTACATAATTGGAATATCGATCGAGGGAGTGTGAGCGCACGTCACCGACCTCCGCTCGATTCTGTCTGCCTCTCGTGCTTGTAATCGCTACATTGCCTTCCCCCCTTTTTATTTTCCATCATTTTTTTTTCATCCAAAAAAAATGGCAAGTCATCCCGGGCTCCCAAGTTAGGTCAAATCGCCGGCATTCATGTTGAAAAAAATGTAACATTTTTTCAAAAAAGCCATTTTTTTTGCGTCATTTATTTCTTAGGTCGAAATGAAAAAAATTCTCCCAAAAATAGATACTTCACCTAGTGGAAGGTGTTCTTTTCGCTTTCATGTTGTATAAAAGAATCAATAGTGAAAATAAAAAATAGTTGAATAATCTAACTTTATGGGTTAATGGATTTCTCTATTTTGGATATTAGAATGGAAATTTGAAACACCTGATGTAGCACTAATACACGTGAATCCCTTCTACTATCTCCCCTTCTTTTTTTATCCCTCACATCAATGAATCAATCCCGATAAAAAAATCACTAACGACTCAGCAACTTCTGCCGACCGACACCGCTGAAAAAAACCCACGTCTTCATCTTGATAAAAAAAAAGTGAATTTTCAATCGATCAACTTCTGTTTTCACACCGCCTGACAATCACTGTTGATAAATCAATGCGGATTAACTCGGTAAACAGACAATGATAAAATGTCATGATAAAACTGGTACCATCGCTTCTGCAATGCACAGAAGTGTTATGAAACACTTCCACTGCCCACATTTCACAAAACGTGATCGCACAGAATGAAAAAGGTTCTACTCTTAATAACTAGTCTCGAAATTCTGAAATTATGGGATTTAAACACCAATAAAAGAAAACAATTAATTCTTAAATTACGATAATGATAAAATTTTCCATGAATTTGAAATTGTCAATTCCGAAATCTCT